GGAGATGTCCCCCATGAGGAGGGCCCTGCCTGCCGTGAACCACTCAGCACTTCCTGAGTCCAGAGCATGGTGCTGACAGGGACTCTCTCTGCATTCTCATAAACCACGTGAGCCCAGCAAGCTCTTCCAGGTGGCTGCAGCCTTGGTGGGGATGCCTGGATTTATGCTCAAGGTCTCAGGGAGCTCCCCCTGGGACAGCCACACTGTAGCCATCCAGCTACGGGAACCCATCCAGCCACCCAGGATCAGGGACCATTTGAGGCCAAGGGTTTGGAGCTTCACTAAGCTGTGATCACACCAATGCACTCCAGCAAGACCCCATCTCTAGAGAAGGAGGAGGAAGAGAGGAGGAGAAGAGGAGGAAGAAGAAGGAGGAGGAAGAGGAAGAAAACTTTGTTGCTTCCAACCAACAAGACTTGGTTTGGGGACAAGTGATGTTCTTTCTCTGTTCGGCACCAAGGAGAAGCCGCAGGGGAGAACAAATACCCAAACACCAAAGAAACACTCTGTGAGCCACAGAAGCAGTGCTTACTGCAGGCACAGGGTGAGGCAGGGGTACAGGCCTGAGCCTTCATCCTGCCAAGGAGGACACTGTGAGCTGGCACTGCTAGTGGGCTGGTGATCCCCAAGGGGACCTGCACCCCAGCCATCCCCACCTGTGAGCCCTTGTGGACTCAGAGGGGTGTTATGTTAATAGAATTCAGGGAGCACCTGCATTCGCCAAGTCACAGCAGAGCTTCTGGGTGGGAAGCACGTTTGGAAAACGGGAGGCACATTGGAGCCTGGACTTTGGGCGCTCCTGACCTGCTGAGCCAGCTGGTTCTCAGCCTCCACGGGGGCAGGGTGGTGAGGATGGCCATGAAATCTTTCTGCAGACAAAAGTGGTTTCTCTTTGATGGCATAAGACACAGACGCACAGGATTCCTTTTGCGTCACGGTGTTGAGAATATCCTTTGCAAAGGGGCAATGGCACGCGGGCACATGTCCTACAGAGTGTTGAGGTTTAAAGAACAGAATGTATGCCGAGCGCCAAGCATGATCCCTAAACACAACAAGGCCGAGCTCCATCACAGCTTGTTCACAGGCCACGGGGGCCTGAGGGTCTCACTCACGTGTGAATGCCAAGCCCCAAACTCAGCCTCCTGCATTCTTCCTGTGTCACCCAGGATAAGGGACCCTAATGACACCAGGCCTTGATGGCCCCCAGAGCATGCAAGGCCCCTATTCCTGACTCCAAGACATCCATGGTTGGAGGTACCCACTGGGCTACCCCTCAGTGCCACCCTCAGGAATGCTGGCAGAACCACACTGAGGCAACAGCCACGCAGAACACACTAGACAGAGAGGGACAGGGCTGGGGATCTTGCTGCAGGGGCCTGTCCAGGCAAGGTCCATGGCCCAGAAGGCCAGCAGAATGACCCCCTGACCCATGCAAGACCTTCCACCTGGGAAGGAAGAGGCGCCTCGGGCGTGGGGATCACCTTGAATGTGGGTATTGCCTCAGGCAGGGGGCATCACCTTGGGCATGGGGGATCAGCTCAGACAGGGCAGGCATTTTTGGTAAGTTGCCTTTCCTTGGGCTCCTTCAGGACAGTGAGGGGTATTGGCCGCCCAGAATCCCTGAGAAGAAACTCAAGCTGCCTGAGACCAGAAAACCTGATTCACAAATTAGTCGACAAGTTCCTGAGGCGGAGATTTGACGTGCAACTCAAGGCAGGGGCACCACACAGCATCACCGACCCACAGCTACCCACTCCCACCAAAGGCACAGCTTTCATCTCAGCTGAATCCGTGGTCAGCATCGCCGACCACGGCTACCCACTCCCACCAAAGGCACAGCTTTCGTCTCAGCAGAATCCGTGGTCAGCATCGCCGACCACGGCTACCCACTCCCACCAAAGGCACAGCTTTCGTCTCAGCAGAATCCGTGGTCAGCATCGCCGACCACGGCTACCCACTCCCACCAAAGGCACAGCTTTCGTCTCAGCAGAATCCGTGGTCAGCATCGCCGACCACGGCTACCCACTCCCACCAAAGGCACAGCTTTCGTCTCAGCAGAATCCGTGGTCAGCATCGCCGACCACGGCTACCCACTCCCACCAAAGGCACAGCTTTCGTCTCAGCTGAATCCGTGGTCAGCATCGCCGACCACGGCTACCCACTCCCACCAAAGGCACAGCCTTCATCTCAGCTGAATCCTTGTTTTTTCTATGATACAGAGTCTTGCTGTGCCACCCAGGCTGAAGTGCAGTGGGATGATCTTGGCTTACTGCAGCCTCCACCTCCCAGGTTCCAGCAATTCTCCTGCCTTAGCCTTCCTAGTAGCTGGGATTATAGGAGTGCGCCAAAATGCCCGGCTAATTTTTGTATTTTTAGTAGAGATGGGGTTTCACCATGTTTGCCAGGCTGGTCTTGAACTCCTGGTGATCTGTCTGCCTCAGCCTCCCAAATCCTTGGTTTCTCTTATTGGCCTTCATGGCCAGAAAGTTTGAAGTTTTAACCCTTTTTCAAGTGACATGATAGCAAATTCTTTCTTGGCTGTGGTTAAAAACACGCCTTTTATCCACAAAGCTGATAATAAGAGAAGTCAGTTGGGTACACGTTTAATCACTGAATTCCTGTAACAATAAAGAGGCGATGTCTAACATCAAAGAGACAGAATCTCCAAGTACTATTTTGCTATATTTTTGTCTTAGGACACAATAATGAAGTGAAGAAGTCTATACAGAGTATTGTACAGCAGAGACAAAGCTACCACAATTGATTTCCAGATCTGCCAAAAAAAAAAAACAGACTTATTTGGGAGAGATATTTTTGAATAACAATTGCCATGGATTAAAAGCCCCCTGCACCTATGTGTGATGAAAAGAAATCAAAGCAAAACAAATCAAAATCTTAGCAAATGAGAATATATGGCAATGGACATCTATAAGAAACCAAACACCTAAGGCCCATCACACCTGGTGGTGAACTACTGACCACTTGCTCCCCCAGCATGGAACGGGGCAAGGATGCCCACTCTCACCATTCTATTCCACATCAAATGCAGGTTCTAGCTTGTGCCACCAGCCCTGTGATGGCCCGGGCGTCCTTTGCAAAGGAGCCATTGGGATATGGATGCCTACATTCCAGGCTCCAAGGTGACCTTGGAGGGCCGAGTTGGGCCAAGCTCACTGGTGGAAACAGGCAGGTGGGAGTGGGTGGGGCAGGGGCCAAGCAGCCTTTAGCTGGGAGGCCAGCTCCTCCTACTGGCAGCATTCCCAAGGTAGTTGGGACCCTCACCACCCACCTCCACCCTCAACTGAAGGGCTAGCTTTCTCCTACGTTCCTCTTCTCCAGGGTGAGGTGAAGAAAGATTGGGGCTGCACAGCCATCGTGGATGGCCTAATCTCGTGACTTCCTTGGGGACAGCATATAAGAACACATGCGCACACACACCCACATGTCTCTCCCAAACAAAAAACAGCCTCCCTGGATCTATATTTAGTTGAAAAATCAAAAAGCCTTCTCAGTAGGTAGCCTGCACGATAAAGATGATTTCTTTCTTTTTTTTTTTTTTTTTTTTTAAAGAGACAGGGTTTCAGTCTTGCTCTGTCACCCAGGTTGGAGTGCAGTGACACAATCACGGTTCACTGCAACCTCAAACTCCTGGGCTCAAGGGATTCCCCCTGCCTCAGCCTCCCAAGTGGCTGGGGCCACAGGTGCACCATGCCCGGCTAACTTTATTATTTTTTGTAGAGACAGGGTCTCACTGTGTTGCCCAGGTTGTTCCCAAACTCCTAGGTTCAAGAAATCCTCCCACCTCGGCCTCCCAAAGAGCTGGAAGATACCTTCTTTATGTTGCTCCACAAACACCTCATGTCCAGGGACAGGCACCTGCCCTCGGGTCACCAGAGGCAGGTAGTCCTTGTCTTACCCTCTCTGAGAACCTGGACACAGGTGCCCATGCCCTTGAGGTCATCTCTATGAGCTGGCTGAGGGTGTCCCTGCCGGGAGCTGCCACTGTGCCAAGCTGGGGTCAACTGTGGGTGGGGGCAGAGGCCAAGCAGCCTTTAGCTGGGAGGCCAGCTCCTCCCACTGGCAGCATTCCAGGGGACCTTGGCTCACCTCCCCACCTCCACCCCCAACTGAACGGCTAGCTTTCTCCTAGCCGGCCTGCCTCCCGCAGTGCCAACAGCAATTCACCTGTCCAAGAGCTCTGAGCTCTGTGCTGGAGGTGAGAGCTGGCCAGTGTGGGCTGGCTAGGAAAGAATTCATCTCCCCTCCTTCTCCAACCTGCCTGGCTCAATGTGCCCCCCCGCTTTCTCTGTCACCCTCTTGGTTCAGCAGCTATGGCATCCATACACTTTGCCTGATGGTAGGCATTCAGCCCCTGCAGCGTTCACCTGTCGGACCTGGGATGGAGGCTTTTGCCCACAGCTGTCCCGTTCCTTCAGGACCTACCCCACATCGCAGACAGAATTGCCTCTGAACCTGCCTCCTCCCACCTTCTGCATCACAAACTCCTTACAAGCAAGGATGCAGCGAGATGTATTTTTGCGTGCCGCCAATACTCAGGTGTCAACAAGTATTAGTGGAGTGTACAAACATTTCCAGTAAGAAGAAACTGGCTGTGAATCACTGAAAATAGATGAGATGCTGAAGAGTTCAAGAGCCCAAAGCACTTGATAATTTCCCAAAGAATTGATTTCTACCAGATTTATGGGTGGAAATAAAAAAGGCTCCATTTAGGGAGGAAATGTGACATCAGGCAACAGGCTGAATATGGAGCAGGACCCAGCAAAAGCCTGAAGAATCTCGGGGAGGTGTGGGCGAGCTGTGTTTACTCTTGTCTCCAGAACAATGGAGCTCCCCATTGACGTCAATGGAAGGGAAGGAACAAAAGAGCCCTTGGGCGTGTGCAGCTGGGCGCAGCTGGGCCTGGGTCTGCTCGGCATTTGTGTGTGTATGTTAGGGAGTGTGTCGAGGTGTCAATGTCAGAGGAACAGGAGGAGGGGCCACCTGACTGAGTGTGTGAACAGACTGCAGGCTACCCGGGGCTTCTGTAGGAGGGGCTGCCCCGATGAACTTGGTATTTGCCCTGGTTTGCAACTGAGAAGTGGCACACACACACCTTGTCAAGCCCAAGGGAAGGAGTTATCACTCTCAGCAACTCCTGATGTGGGTTCATAACCTTTCCTTGTGTCCCATCCCTAGTCCCCAGGCGAGCTTGGGGAAAGAACAGGAGGACTAAAGGGAGATGCTGCCGCCCCAGCTTCCCGGACAATGCCCAGGGTCTCCAGCCTTTCAGAGCCGGAGACTCTCGCCTTCCGCATGTGACCCGGCATTTTCAGAGCCTGCTGCGTGGGAGTCTTGCAAGCTCCTTCATGTCCTGTAAGTCTCAGCCTTCTACCCAGAGCAGGGGAAATTGTACTGTCTCTCCTGACACTTTAAATGGAAGTTTCCGGGCTTGAGGTGCCCCCAGACAATGCTTACTGAAACAACAAACACTCAGACAAGGTGACGCAGGGTCCCGCGCTGTCTCCCAGGACAACCTCCCACCCTTGGCTCCTGCGTCTCTATGGCTCGCACTGTAGAAAGAGGACTTTTCTCAAGGCCCATCCTACCCGCCCTGGAGGTGCTGCCTTTCTCACGGAGTCTGTGGGGATAGCTCTGGCTCTGGTTGACTTATAGCTTACAGAGCCCAATTTAGCATTTGATGAAGTTCCCTTTTTATGAGACAGTCCTTTCTCCCTAGGGATGCGCGTGGGGGCAGGGACAATATCATTTCTCTTTTGTACCTCCCAAGAGTAACAGCGACTCCATTTCCTGAACCAAAAATTGCAACACGTGGTCTCAAAAATAAGAAAGGTCACTTGGTAGCGGCCGGGGCAAACGTCGACCACAAGCACCTCGGAGGCCCGGGTGGGCGTGCCACGGGAGCGGCTGCGGGGCGGTGCTGCCGCCTTCTCCCGGGCTGCTCCGGTGCTCGGCGTTGGATGAGTGAGTGAATGAATAAATGAATGAGTGAGTGAATGAATAAATGAATGAGTGAGTGAATGAATAAATGAATGAATGTGACTGAGTGAATGAAGCATGCCGCCCGAACTTTCCCGAGGCCCTGGCCGCCGCGGGCGCGCCTCTGGTCGGTGACCGCACGTGGAGGTCTCTCCGGCCTGGGCTTTGGCGCGCGGCTCTGCCAAGCTGGCCGGAGGTGCGCAGGAGCCCCGCGCCCAGCTCCCCCGCCCGCAGTGGTACGCGCCACTCCGCGCTCCCTGAGCTGGCGGACTCGCCGGCGTCGTGAATGGAAGGCCCAGACGCCGGAAGTGGATGAGACCACTAGGGAGGACGACGGGGGGCAAGAATGCAACGCGTCTCCATTGAGGAACCGACGAGGTGAACATGGAGTTCCATGTGCGTCTTATGTAAAAAGAGCGACGGGCACCGCCACCAATGGGCGCGCGGCGCTCTCAGGCCCTGCCCCCCAGGTATGCAGATGAGACGGAGTCGCGGCCAATGGCGGGCGCCGGGGGCGGGCGCAGCGCGCGCGGTCACGTTTTCCACTATGTGACAGCGGCGACTCGGCAGCGGCGGAGGCGGCCTCGCGGAGGGACTGCGTGCGGCTGTGGGCGGTGGCGGCGGCAGGCGCGGGGCCGGGCGGACAGAGCCGCGGGCCGACGGAGGGACCGGCGGACTGGCCGACGCGGACGCGGCCGGGCGGTGAGTGGCGCGGCGCGGCCCCGCTGCCGCTTACGTAACCGCCACCGGCGCGCTGGCCTCGGGCGGGTCGGGGTCCTCTCGCCGGCTCGGGCCGGGGACGCGCAGCCGGGAGTCTCCTGGGCCGCTGGACTCCGCGGCCTGAAACGGCGCCGGCTTGGGGGGCGCGTGCCGGCGGCCCTGTCTCAGGTGGTGGGTGGCCGAGCCTCCTGGGACAAACGGGCTGCGCTCGTTTGAACCATGCTGACACCGCGGGGTGGGGACTCGAACCCCCGTTTCGCAGTTCAGGAGCCTGTCGTCCGAGAGGTGAGGCAGCGTGTGTAGGGCACCGAGCTACTGAGTGACTGCGTGCGGGCTGCGGTCCGTGGGCGATTCTCTTTTGGGAACCCTCCTTCCCCTTCCATGGGCAAGGCCAAGGAAACCAAGGGTCAGCTCAGCGGGCCCTGGGATCTGGAGACCGGGGAGCTGCCTGCCTGCTCTGAGGCCACAAGGCCAAGTCCTGGCTGGGGAAGGGCCATGGGGGGGCGCTGATATAGGAGCTTTTCCTGGACACCCACGGGTCTCCTGGGATGGGTGATCAGAGGGACAAGGAAGTCCCTGTGTTGAGCCGGGCCTGGGAACACTGAGGACAGGGAGACTGCCTGATGTTCGCCCCCTTTGCCTCCCCTGGACCACTCTGGATCAATTCCCTCTCCCCGTACTGGATAGAAGGGAATGGGGGTGTCCACTCGGTGCAGCAGTCTCACCTTCCTGCTGGGATGTACTTTCTCGGCCAAGTCCCAGACATATACTAGGGGGTGGGAGGTGGCCTGCTTCCCCCTTCAGGAAGGCCAGGGTAAGGAATGACGAGTTGGTTGCCAGGGTTTCTGTAACCTACACAGAAAAAAACCCGTTTGGAAAGCTGATTCATACAGAACAACAGAGCCAGAAGGCACCCTGGAAATCACCCAGAGTAACCCTTCAGCCTGGCAAGATGAGCACATTGAGGCCCAGGCTCAGGCTGTCTGCAGGGTCTTCCTATCACCCTGGGGCAGGATGCGCTTCAGAGGGTCAGTGAAGGCCTCTATGTGGGTGCTGAATCCTGCGTGGGCTGGAATTTGGGAGGAGGAACCTTAAGTCTCGGAAATGTTAAGAACCCCACACACACCATGGTCAAAGCCCCATATGGACACCCCTCACCTGTATGTGGCACAGCAGGACCATTAGACCTCTTGGCTTCAGAGGTGAGAGCCCACTCTCTGCCCCGACCTGGGACTTCTTGTCCCAGGTTGGATGTGCTTGAGAAGAGAACAGGACTCTACCTGACGGCTTTATTTGGAAGTTGAGTTCTAAAATACAAGGTGAATTGATTTTTGTATGCTTTATGACTATAATGAAGAAAGGGACTATGTTTTTTTTTCTGAAGTGCAAGCTGTGTGATGTGCCAGCACGGGGATGGTACCGTGGGCGTTTGCAGTTATCTGTCACCGTCGCCTTGGTGTGATTCATTGGTACTGCACTAGGGCAACTCTGGCTTTCCGTGGAGACGGAGTGCCAGGTGGGAAGGGGGAGCCCTGCGTCAGCCAGCTGGCTGCTGCTGCGAGTGTTGGCTCCTCGTCCAGGCCCCAGTTTCCTCGTTTGTTCGGAGGGGCTCCGATTGGGCAATCTCTGGGGTCTATTTTAATGCCCAGCTTTTCGGTTTTCTGTTACCCTATAGATGATTTTTCCCAGTTTGCTCACAGGAGACAGAGGCTTCTGATACTCCTGCCTTTGGGGCACATAATGTTCCCCTGTGACCCACGTCTGCAGTGCTCAGAGGGACAAAGGAGAGGTTTCTCTCCTGTGCACTGCTTCTCAAACACAGAGAACTTTCTGAAAAATACTGCTAGCTATACTGCTGTTTTTAAGTGATGATGTAACTTTACCAGGACTCGGCAAAACCCGGCTCTGTCAGGTCATTGAGTAGCTGGCAGGGCTACTCAGTGTGTAGTCAGAAGAAAGGCTCTGGGTATGCTTTTACCTTTGGAAAACTACTCTGTTTGGCAGAGTGAGCTAGAAACGCACGATTCCATAGGCTTGGCAGAGACTGTCCCCACACTTCTGGAAAGCTGGCCTACCTGCGGAACCAAGGGAGAATCAGTAGTATAGAGGGGGCCTCTGATGGCCCCTCCCCAGGCCCACGCTCTCTCCTCGAGGGACCAGGCCCTCCTCTCAACTCTTTATGCTCATTGTGTGCATGTTTATAACAAGTTTATTACCATATTTCTAAGTCTAGAACAAATTAGAAGCAGTAAATGAGCAGCAGTGACTGGTGACAGGAGTCAAGGCCACTTGGTTTTCAGAGACTGGCAGTTCCCAAGACAGAGTGGGCTGCTGTGCTGAACCCTTGCCCGCCTTGAAGGGTTCCTCATGCTCTTCCTGGGGTGGCGCAGAGGAATCAGAATCCACCGTTTAAGAAACCAGGTACCAGAGGAGCAGATGCCCCAGCTTTCCAAAATTCAGAGTAGCTCAGTCCCTGACCACTGGAGCTAGGAGGCCAACACTTCTACATTTCTTATTGCTTTAAAATCTTGTAGTTCTAAAAATTTCAGGGTTGAAAAGCTTGAGTTGAGAGCATTGAAGGTGTCCTAGTGAGGCCGAGGCAGTGCCTCCCCCGTGCACCTCCTTCCCTCCGTATTTGGAGGTTGTGGTCACATTTTCCTCAGTTACCCAGCTGTTGCCATGGAGAGTGCGGCTGTTTATTTAGCAAGACAAACATTTTCTCAGGATTACAGCAGGCTGGCCTCAGGGAGTTGGCTCCTACCAGGAAGTAGAAAACATGTTCTAATATTTGGGGTTGTAAATACTGCAGGACTTGCTGAGACAGTACATGCTGTATGATTCCTATTATGTAAAGTTCAAAAACAGGCAGAATTAACTAGGCTGTGAGAAGCCGAGCTCGTGGGTCCCTGCGGGGTAGACGGTGACTGGGAGGGCCACCAGGAGCCTGTGGGGCAGCTGACGGTATGCTGCCTCTGGTCACACGGGTGTGTTGATTGCAGATATACAGCAAGCTTTGACCTCACGACGGACTCCTCTGGTGATTGAACACTGATTCCTGATTTCTACAAAAATTGCATTTCCACCTTAGGTGTGAGGGAATTGAGTACAGCAAGACTTTACCAGTCCTGGGGGTACAGTGGAGGCTGGAGCTGGGTCCCGGGCTGTGCTTTCGTTCCTAATTTTTAAACACTGTTATGGAAGTGTGAATATCTGTCAAAGTAGAGAGGACAGGGCAACCAACCCTGTGACTCCGCAGCCTGCTTCTAGTGTTTCGTCTCCTGGCCCTTCTCCTTCCACATCCCCACCATCTGCTTTTCTTCCTGGTCCCAGGCTCTCTGTTGCTGTTGTGGACTGCACTTTCTGAATGGTACTCTCTCTGGTTGAGGCAACCCAGCTACCAAAAATGTGGCCAAGTGACCTGGTCTAAGCTTAACCTCTTTCTCTGATGGTTCTTGGAGGCAGAGCCGGTGGGCAGACAAGCGAAGGGGCCCCAACAGCAGGTTCATGCCCCAAGGCTCACGTTGGCTCCTTGCAGCCCCTTTTCAACCAGGCTGCCATTTTCCCTTCTGGGCATTGGCTCCCTGAGCACATAAATGCATGCCCACCCTTCCTCCCCCTGTCCCAATGGGGTAGAAACAGGTTTCCTAGGAGCTCCCCAGGGACAGCTGGTCCAGCCAGCTCTGGGCACGCATCTGTGGAAGGCAGGAGGCAAAGTCCACTTAGACAGGCACGTTGGTTTTGCCAACTTGGCAAAATGAGGCTGGTCCATTAGAGCCGCTGGGGCTGAGGACGCATTTTCTGGAATGGCCAAGTTTCTGGTGATTTGGCTTAGTTTGTGCTTTCACATTTCTGCCAGGCTTACCTGACCCTCTTTGCAAAAGTATTTATCTTCCACCTAAGGTAATGTTGGGGCACCAGTGAATCGTATTCAGACAGGCTCACAGGGGCTGGACTCAGGGGTGAAAAGCAGGCACTAAGTGCAAAAAAAGTGCAAAGCAGGAGAGCCGCGAGCAAAGCAGGAGAGCCGCGAGCAAAGCAGGAGAGCCGCGTGCAAAGCAGGAGAGCCGCGAGCAAAGCAGGAGAGCCGCGAGCAAAGCAGGAGAGCCGCGAGCAAAGCAGGAGAGCCGCGTGCAAAGCAGGAGAGCCGCGAGCAAAGCAGGAGAGCCACGAGCAAAGCAGGAGAGCTACGAGCAAAGCAGGAGAGCTGCAGAGCTACGAGCAAAGCAGGAGAGCCTCGTGCAAAGCAGGAGAGCTACGAGCCAAGCGCCCAGGGCCCAGATAGCACGGCGGCTTCAGATGCACGTTGCTCCCCCAAGGACTTCCTGGCCTGGGGGTGGCTCTGACTTCTTAGTCCTTTAAATAACGAGCCAGAGACAGCTACCATGTGATGATCACTCTCTCTCTTTTAAAATTGTTTTTGTTACCCTGGTCTGGTTTTTTTTCTTTTGAGACGGAGTCTTGCTTTGTGGCCCAGGCTGGAGTGCAGTGGCACAATCTCAGCTCACTGCAACCTCTGCCTCCAGGGTTCAAGTGATTCTCCTGTCTCAGCCTCCCAAGTAGCTGGGATTATAGGTGCACACCACAACGCCCGGCTAATTTTTGTATTTTTAACAGAGATGGGGTTTCATCATATTGCTCTGACTGGTCACGAGCTCCTGACCTCAGGTGATCCACCTGCCTCAGCCTCTTGAGGTGCTGGGATTACAGGCGTGAGCCACCGCGCCTAGCCTGTCTGTTTTTCTGTAGTGATTAGCAGTGATAATATAAGCTCATGTTACATTCCAGATTCCTTGCATGGGTTGTGTCTAACAACCAGTAGGAGGGAAGAACTGCTGTTATCCCCATCTCACGAATGAGGACACAAGGCACAGAGAGGTTAAGGAACTGTCCGAGATCACACAGTTAGGAAGTGGTGGAAGCTGGCTGAAACCCAGGCCATCCTGGACCTGTCCCCTTAACCACTCTGCTGCTGCCTCTGATCACCTTAATAACTCACTCACAGCAGAAAGGACCGGCTGTTTGTCTGGGGGAGGACTGTGGGGATGAGATGGGTGGTGACAGGGTGTTGGAGGTGTCAGGAGTGAGAGATTGCCCTTGATACCCTGGGCAGCCCCTTGGCAGCCCACTGAACCATGGTGAGAGCTCCCTGAGAGGTCTCCTTGCTGCCACCTTCCCTCAACCCTGCAACTCTAATGAAGTAACAAGTCAGATCTTGTTGCACAGAACTCTCCATGGTTCCCTGTCAGAGTTCTGACTCTGCCCCCGAAAGGTGCCCTCCTGCCCTTCCCTGCCCTCTCTGCTCCAGCCTCATGCACCTCCTCAGACAGGTCAGGGGCTCGCCTGCCGCAGGGCCTCCACAGTGGTGTGGCACATCATCCGAGTCCACATAGGGCGGGCAGAGCCAGAGATGCCCAGTGCCAGCCTCAGGTGTGAAGCCAGAAGGACCTGCCGGAGCACATGGCTGCAGGCCTGAGAGAGCAAAACCCAGGGACTCTGAGTCAGCTCACATACGAGGGCTCACGAGCAAGGTTTTTGCCAAATGGCACTTACACCTGGGGCTACGCTCCCTGAAATGTCACTCCCAGCCCCTCTATTCCCACTTGCTAGTTGCCTGCTGTACTGTATATTCTAGTTTCTTGTTTCTTGTCTGTTTCCTCCTAATGTAAGCTCCCTGAGGGCAGGGAAGATGTCTGTTCTGTTGTCTGCCCCAGTGCCAGCCCTCAGTGCTATGCAAGTAAGGGCAAGCCAGTCAGCGGGAAACTGCTGGCACTGGGTGGGCCCTGCATGAGTGCCACCTGTCTTTATTATTGTTGTTGTTATTGTTCTTGGACTCACTCGTCTATATCTGAGAATCTTCCCATATCAGTCTTTCTGGTCTCCCTCCTTTTAGTGGGTGCATAGTATTCCAGAGCATGGATGTCCCAGGTTTGTGTTTTTAACAGTACGTGTCAGGCCCTGGGGATCCAGTAGTGACCAACTCAAAGCCCCTGCCCCTATGGAACTGAAGTCCCAGAGGGGAGGCAGGCAGTATACAGCCAGCCCCTCAGTGCTGGCAAGGAAAGCTCGCAGAGCGGGAGTGGAGGACATGGAGAAGTAGCTGGTGGGGAGGCGGTGCTGTTCATGCAGGCTGCCCAGGGCATCTGCAGGAAGAGGGTTGTGGGCACAAGGGAGCAGCAAGTGCAGAGTCCCTGTGGTCAGAGCACACAGGGCTGGGGCCGAGGGGTGGGCAGTTAACAGGACATGCCCAGTAGATTGCAGGAGCTAGACTTGGCAAAGCCTGCAGCCCTCATGCCAATTAGAGCTATGCTCTGAGCCAGGGTCTGGGCACAGGCTGGGTGTGAGCTAAGCCTCTTTAGGCTCAGGATGGCTCTTGGTGCTGAGTTGACTATAGCAGGGCCAGGTGGAGACGGGACCATTTTGGAATTTGAGGTTGGCTCCTGGCCAGGATGGTTGTGGACGGGATGAATAGTCTCCCTGCTGATGATTCTTTCCAGGTTTGTATATTCCATGCTCACAGAGCTCCGTGCACATACGCAAGCTTCCCTGCAATGGATTCCTGGAAGTGAGAAGAGCCTGCAGATGATCAGTGTTGCTGGGAACTCAAATTTCCTTCCAGAACGACCCATTATGGCACCACCACACGCAAGAGCCGCTCTTCTCCACCTGACCAGTGCTGAGTGTGATCAGTCCTGTGAATTTTTGGCAACCTGATGGGCCAGATAATCTTGTCCTTTGCATTTTTCTGAAGCGAATGAGGTCTGACCTCTTTCTACAAGTTCACGATGTTTGGCATTTCTCCCTGCGGGAGCGGCCTGGGCAGTCTTTGTGCTTAGTCTGTCTCTGCCCAAAAGTTATTACCACTCATCTTTCATTGAATTTTCTAGGACTACCACAAAATGTAAAAAGAAAAAAAAACTGAAGTAACAGACTTGCTTATTTTGTTCCTGACTTTAAGTGGAATGACGCTGGCATTTTGGGTTTTATATGACTGAGGATATTAATAAAACCAGCTGTGTAACCCACAATCAAGTATCCTGTAGTTGAAATTTCCTCCCTTGGACCATAAGCTTTTCCTCTCAAAGTTATTAATTATAGCTGGACGCGGTGGCTCATGCCTGTAATCCCAGCATTTTGGGAGGCCAGGGTGGGCAGATCACGAGGTCAAGAGATCGAGACCGTCCTGGCCAAGGTGCCAACATGGCAAAACCCTGTCTCTACTAAAAATACAAAAATTAGTCACACCACTGCACTCCATCCTGGCAACAGAGCAAGACTGTCTCAAAACAAAACAAGTGTGTGTGAGTTGCGCGTGTGTAGACACTGTCTTCTGGAAATTTAATGTTGCCGAAGAGATATCCAAGACTAATGCGTGTGTTCATCCTTTGTAGGGACCCTGTTTGTTCTCTTCGGATGCTGGTAGGATTTTCTCTACCCTTGAAGCTACCGTTTGTCATCTGGATGCAGTTAGGCATTGGATTTTTGTCTCTGGCTCAGGATGGTTCTCTTCATGTGTTTCATTCATTACGGGTTCCGTTTCATTGTTCTTGTGTCTTTCAGAAAGAGCTGTAATCCACAGGTAAAACCCGGTTCTCCTCCATCTCTCTCCTCTTCCCCTTCCCTTTGAAAAGTTTCTCAGACATCTTTTCCCTATCACTGAAGCCGTTTTCTTTTGTATTCACGCTGAACTTTGTCCTTTCCAGTTTTCTGTTCTAATGTGGATTTTTATCAGTCTGCGGCTTTATCTCATCCCTCATTACTTGTTTCATTGACGCCATCGTTTCTCGAATTCTCGCTATGAAAAGTAGATGCTGTCCAATCTGCTGGCTTCCTCTGTGGCATGTCTTTGTTGTGTGTCTTTCCACAGCCCCGCATTGGCTTTCTTCTGTTGATTAGTTTGTGAACAAGGCAAGGTGTCGTCGACCCTGCTGCTCTCCAGACGCTGACATGGGTGGGCTCTGCGTGAGCCCCGCCTCTCACCAGGCTGCCCTGGAGTGGCTCATGTCCAAATGGACTTGACCTGGGGAAGTGGTTGCTGAAGGCTCTTGCTGGAGCTCAGCCATCCAGTTCCTGGGGCCAGCTCGTGGAATCTGGCTCCCTGCGTGTGTGACCCTCAGCATTGCTGGCTGGTATAGAGTCCTTTCTCAGCATCGCCCTGTTGGGGAGAGTACCTGGGGGTGTTGAGTGGGTGAAGTCCATCCAGGAGAACCTCTGCTTCCCGCAGGATTTCTGTTCCTGTGTCTGTTCCTTTCCCACAACTTCCTCGTGAAGCATCTTCATGGTAGAGTCCCCTTCCGTGGCCGGGGTAGCAGGGCTCTCAGCACTGGCCACTTCCTCAGGGGGTGTTGGACTCTAGTGCACTCTTCCTGCTCCCTCCATTTGAGCTTCAGCAGGATGTGCCTTCACTTTATGGCCAGTGATTGGGACCCACTGGGACTTTTAGGGCTGCTGAAAATGATCCCTCTCCTCACCAATTGTATAATCCTTGGTCATTTCACATGGGTTCTGGTTTGAAGGATGCTGAAGGGGAGGCCCTCCCAGAGCTAGGTGAGAACTGGAGCATAAGATTTTTACAGAGCTCTGGGGTCTGGAATCCAGAAACCCTTTTCTCCCCTTGTTCCACCTGCCCTGGGAAGGGCCAAATGAATGCCATGAAGAAGTGGCAGTGCCAAAATGTGCCAGAGTTGGGCCAAGCACAGGGCAGTGACAGGAAGCAGGAGGTCCCCACCCAGTTGATCCTGGGTGTGGGTTGGGGGTCCCATCTTCAGATGCCGGCAGGCCTGGAAGCCAGGGCTGTCATCTGCTGCTGTGTGGCCCTCCGTGGGCGCATCTGTAGAACGGTCTCCACACCATATAGACAGTGATGAAGGGTTCTGGAAGGTTGTGTGTTGGGTGCTTAACATCATGTCTGTCGTCAGCATCATGCCAGAGCCTCACAGCTCTGTTAGTTAAGCATGAGCACCTGTGTCAAGCAGGCCTTCATCTAGCCCTGCTCCGCTTGAGTGGGTGCCCACTTCCTCCCAGAACCCTGCTGGAAACGCCATCCTGGGGATGGGGAGACATCACTGGGTGAAGAAGGAAGGACTCAGGATGGCATTTTGGCCTCCCACCTGCGAATCAGCCCTACCCCTCCCTGCTCTCTGTCTCTGCTCACCACCTCAGTTTGTGTCCAGGATGATTGCTGGTCTGTCTCTAATTTCAGCCCCACTCCACCCATTCACCCCAAAATGCCAAGGTAAAGTTTCTGTCCAGCACAGCAGTGTGAGCCTGTGCAAATGCAAGTGGGCCTGGCATTCAGAGTGCCATGCGGCTCCCAACCCTTCCCGGTAAATGTGGGGCCACATCGTCCTGGCCCCTCCCCATCCCAGTTGTACATGCCTGCGGGCTCTGGGACCCCCAGGCTGCTGGGAGGGTTCCACACCTGCCAGGCCCCTTTGCCCTCTTCACCCGGAAAGCCCTGTTTGTTCCCCTGTCTCCTGCTGGCCTTGGCTTCTCCTGTAACTGTGCCGTGCTGTAATGGCCAAGATTTCTGAACCTGGCTCCCCTCACCCACCATCATCTGGGAATTTTATAAAAGGCAGATCACACATTCAGTGGGACTGTGTGTCCCCGCCCTCCCACCCACTCCACAGTCTGGGTGGTGATTATCAGTGCTGTTGTCTGCCTTCTGATGAGGCTGTCAGCAGCCCTGGGTCAGCAGCTGAGGCTGCCTAATTCAGCCATCTTCCTGATTTCATGGCAGATAGGAGCTCTGTCAATAAGAAAAGTAAGTGACTGATGACCTAATATGTGTGTGATTGATCCCAATGAAAGGGTACTTTGGCCGGGTGTGGTTGGCTGAAGTGGGGAGATCGCTCAGTGAGACCAGTCTGGGCAACATGGCGAAGCACCGTCTCTACCAAAAATACAAAAAATTAGCCAGGCAGGATGGTGAACACCTGTGGTTCCAGCCACCCTGGAGGCTGAGATGGGAGGATTGCCTCAACCCAGGCACTGCATTCCCTGGGCGACAGAGCCAGACCCTGGCTCCAAAAAAAAGAGACTGCAGTTTCGTTAGTATCAGAAGGAGTCAAAAGGCTGCTCTACCTGGTGGCTGTAGCTGCCACTCGTGCGAGCACTTTTTAATGCCTGACGGCATCCCTCTGTTGCAGCTTCATTCCAGAGCCCAGCATGAACGGATACGCGGAATTTCCTTCCAGCCCCAGTAACCCCACCAAGGAGCCCATGGAGCCCCAGCCCAGCCAGGTCCCGCTGCCGGAAGACATGGACATGAGCAGTGGCTCCAGTGGGCATGAGACCAACGAGAACTGCTCCACGGGGCGGGACTCGCAGGGCAGTGATTGTGACGACAGTGGGAAGGAGCTGGGGATGCTGGTGGAGCCACCGGACACCCACCAGAGGTGGGTTCAGCCTCTGGCCAGATACAGGCTGGGCAGGTTGTTTTCTCTGTGCCTCATTTCTGCTGTGATTTGATTGTTTTGCTTGCAGTCTTTAAATCATGATTACCAAGTTTTTCAAAATTTTGAAAAGACTAAAATGTGTCAGGGTCTGTCCTTCCTTATAAGGAGGCCCCCGTCGATTTCGTAGATCTGGTTGCCAACAGACAGGTACTTGGTAGTGTGAGGAGATCTTGGGAGGTAGCAGTGTCAGGTAACCCAGCCAGCAGCTGCTCAGATGACACGGGGCAGTTTATAAAAGAGGAACTGCCTCCTGTTGTCGTGTGTTTCTGTGTCCTGGTACTTCGTTTTTCTGATGTCTGAAGGTTTTATGTTCCAGTTTTATCTTAACGTTGTATTTTTAAGACATTATCTTACTATGGTGTTATTTAGCCTTTTATCACTGGTAGGATGGCAGCGGAAGACCCTTCTCCACATACAGTTGTCTAAATTTTGCTTTTATTTCTTGTTTTCATAGTCCAGATGCCTTTAGCCTGATGATGGCAAAATCTGAACACAACCCCTCTACGAGTGGCTGCAGGTAAGGCCCGTTAGAACTTCGTACGTAGAGTCTTCAGAGAAATTGAAAGGTTTCTTATTGGAGGTTAGTTGTTTGAGAGTGACGTGGCTTTTTTTAAGCTCTGCTAACACCCATCTGTGTGGCCATGTGGGTACAAACCCAGCCTCACCCTGGCCCTTCAGACGCTGACTGTCCCCTCGTGCAGTCCAGAGCCCCCAGGATGTCGCTCCAGCACCTGTAGCTCCTCCCAGCTCTACTCGAAGCTGACTTTGCCTGAGTCTTGGGCATTTTCATCTGGAACATTCTTCATCCTTCTTAGGTGTTTGTACCAAACTTAGCCTTACGTCAATTTCCACGTCACCTCTGGAGCAAAACCCAGCTCCTCGTCCAGGGCATGTGGGCACTTTGCATTGCCTGAGAAACCTTGACTTCCATTATTCCTTCAGCACCCTCTGTTCTGAGGAGGCCCACCTTCATCAGCCAGTGCCCCGCTGTCCTGTCTCTCTAGCATCTCTGTGTCGTTAATTGATGTTTAAAGACCCTTCTCCACAAGCCCCTTTCTCTGTGTTCATGGCTCACATGTCTGTCCTCTGTAATCCCATCACTCAGTCCTCCTTTACCTGGGGCAGGGAAGGAGGGCACAGCTCAGTGCACCGTCCACTGCAGCAGGCTGGGTTGACCAGTATCCTTTCCTGAGCAAAGCCTAGCTCTGACCCTGGAGGGAAACAACACAGTTGGAGGGACTTCTCCAGCGTTCAGTTGGGGCAGAGCAGTGATTCTTGGCCAGGGACAATTTGTCTCCCGGCAAGAGACATCTGTCAGTGTCTGCAGACAGCTCTGATTGTCGTGCCTCGCTGGGGTCCCCCTGGTCTGTCGTGGGTGAGACCAGGGATACTGCTAAATGTCCTGCAGAGCCCCACAAAGGACCGCCTCGACCAAAATGTCTCCAGAGCTGAGGCTGAGAAACTGGATGAGAGGCGCGTTTCTTCGGGAAAGGATGCCTAGGAAGCTAACATTTGGCTGCCTCTTTCTTGAATCCTGCAGTAGCGACCAGTCTTCAAAGGTGGACACTCACAAAGAACTGATAAAAACACTGAAGGAGCTGAAGGTCCACCTCCCTGCAGACAAGAAGGCCAAGGGCAAGGCCAGTACTCTGGCCACCCTGAAGTACGCCCTCAGGAGCGTGAAGCAGGTGAAAGGTACGTCTGCCCTGCACATCTGCTCCAAACCTATAGAAGTATGTTTTAAATCCCCCAAACTAGAGCTTGGGTTGTGTTGACTTTCTAAAACTCAAGGTTCATCACAGCTCACTGCAGCCATGACCTCCTGGGCTGCCAGGAGCCTTTCCTGCATAGCTGGGACCACAGGCGTGTGCCACCACGCCCAGCTAATTTTTGTATTTTTTGTAGAGATGGGATCTCACTATGTTGCCCAAGCTGGTCTCAAACTCCTGGGCCCGAACAGTCCTCCCAAATAAGCCTCCCAAAGTTCTGGGACTACAGGTGTAAACCACCGTGCCTCACCTACCCTTTTTCTTCACAGTGGAAACTACCAGCTCCTGAACTTTGAAGAATTCCTCAAATGTGTTGGTCCATTGTGATGAGCAGGCAGGGACCATCAGTGTCAGCCAGGGTGGGGAAGGGAGGTGCCCTGCAGAACATGCGCACACCTCCTACCAGCTGGTGTGTGAGCACCTCCCTACTCTGGAGCTGTGCCTTTGTTCATGCACACATGCTCTAAGGGGCTGGTGGATCCTGTACGTTAAAAACATCCATAAAAATAGAAAAATCTGAAAGGCTTGAAGGTGAAGCAGTAGCTGTATTCTGTTAACCTCTTTCAAAGCACAGCATGCAGTTAGGGCGAGGCTCTTCACTAGTAATCGTGGGTATAAACTCACATTTCCAGCAGTCTTCACATTTTTAATGTTTGGGTAGTTTTTGATCAGCACTGATCTCTGGGGCCCTTGAGCGAGTGTGGAAGGGTTGCTCTGCCATGTGCTGGCTTGGGCTTGCATTTTTGGGTGTTGTCTTTGGGTGTCCTTAAAGTTTCTCTGCAGGCTCCCTGATCCCATTATCCATTTTGTGAGGGTTGATATAGACAGAACAAGGTGCCTCAGCTGCTTGTCATTGCTGGTCAGGTCTAAAGTTACTGCATGGAAATCCAGTGCCCCTGGGATGTGCACCCCGCCAAGGAGGGCACCACTCTGGGGCTGCATGCCTGTGGAGGCCTCGTCTTCCAGGAGGAGCTGGAGAGGAGAGTGCATTCTGATCATCTGGGCTGCTCTGTTCTCAAGTGATTGTGTCCATTTAGGGTGGTTCCCTGCTGGCATCTGCAGTAACTTCAGCGCTCAGAAGCTCTGCCATGGGAAGACATTTTCTACACTTTCCAGCAGTTTCTATCTTAATTTCAGAGCATACTCAGAAATGTGCCTGTTTCTGAAATTGCCGAAGGTGGCCAAACTGAAAGCAGCTGAGCCCATCTGTGGGTCCGAAGGTCTCCCCAGCACATTGCAGGAAGCACACACGTGGCAGAGCCCAGCTCAGACTCATGCAGCCCCAGGTTTCATCTCTGCAGGGCCTAGTGACCCCTGAGGGCAAGTGGTAGCCTGGAGTAGGGGCCACTGTGGCCATGAGCACCGACACCCAGAGACAGGCTTTTCGCCCCAGAGTGAGCCCACCGGATGAGCCCAGGATGACATGGGAACCCAGATGGAGTGGCCCTCATCTTCAGAATCTATTTTGAAAACTTTTTTTAAAATGTTGTTTCTTTTTTAAAACTTTTTAAAAAATGTGCCTGCTATTTTTTTTAAGTAGCTGATTCTGCCTGGATGGGGGTGTCTGGTGGCATCACCCAGGGAGTCAGATGTGCAGGGGCTGCCATGAGTTCCTGTGTGGAAATGTGGCTATATCATCATGATTAAAGACCCTTCTGGGCCAGACACAGTGACTCATGCCTGTAAAACCAGCACTTTGGGAGGCTGATGTGGGCAGATCATGAGGTCAAGGGATCGAGACCATCCTGGCCAACATGGTGAAACCCAGTCTCTATTAAAAATACAAAATTAGCTGGATCTGGTTGTGCACACCCCTACTCCCCACTACTTGGGAGGCTGAGGCAGGAGAATTGGTTGAACTTGGGAGGCGGAAGGTGCGATGAGCCGAGATCGTGCCACTGTACTCCAGCCTGGTGACAGAGCAAGACTCCATCTCTCTTAAAAAAAAAAAGACCCTTCTGGAGGCCAGAAGTAGTGGGTCACCTGAGGTCAGGAGTTTGAGGATAGCCTGGCCAGCATGGTGAAACCCCATCTCTACTAAAAATATAAAAGTTAAGCTGGACACGGTGGCTCGTGCCTGTAATACACCACTTTGGGAGGCCGAGGCAGGAAGATCATGAGGTCAAGAGATTGAGACCATCCTGACCATCATGGTGAAATCCCATCTCTACTAAAAATACAAAAATTAGCTGGGCGTGCCTGTAGTCCCAGCTACTCGGGAGGCTGAGGCAGGAGAGTAATTTGAACCCAGAAAGCAGAGGTTGCAGTGAGCCAAGATCGTGCCACTGCACTCCAGCCTGGCAACAGGGCAAAACTCCATCTAAAAAAAATAATAATAATAAACTTTAAAAAAATTAGTTGGGCATGGAGGCGGGTTCCCGTAATCCCAGCTACTCGGGAGGCTGAGGCAAGAATCGCTTGAACCCAGAAGGCAGAGGTTGCAGTGAGCCGAGATTGCGTCATTGCACTCCAGTCTGGGCAACAAGAGCAAAACTCCATCTCAAAAACAAAAACAAAAACAAAAAAAACCTGGAAAACCTGAAGGGTAGCTGGAACTCTGTGACCATATTACCTTAAATAATGTAGTTGCCACTTAAAAAAATTGTATAATCAAAGGCCTTCTGACGTTTTAGGGGAAAAAATCCTGACTTCTGTTTGTGAGTCTGTTTTGCCTGCACGTTTCCATGTGTTCTATGTCGCAGGAAGACAGGGTCTATATCCCACCTTTTCATTTGAGAAAAGTAGAGCCCCCAGTTTGTAAGAGCAAGTGGCTGTCTCTAGCCAAGTGCTGGCTTCTGCCCACTGAGTTCGAGCCCTGTGTCTCCTGCAGCCAGTGAAGAGTATTACCAGCTGCTGATGTCCAGCGAGGGCCACCCCTGCGGAGCAGACGTGCCTTCCTACACCGTGGAGGAGATCGAGAGCGTCACCTCTGAGCACATAGTGAAGAATGCCGTAAGCCTCTTCCCCTGGAAAGTTTCTCTTTAAACAGCAGGAGTTCTTCCTCCAGGCCAACTAGCTCAGCGCTGTGGCCAGTGGCCATAAGGCAGGAGCGTTTTGGGTTTCAGCAGTTAAGTTCCCACCTCTAAAAGAAAGGTGATTCTGGAAGTAGCATTCATGTTCTGTACTTCTGCCTTCTGTGAGACTGTCTTCCTTGTCCCTACCCAGCTTTGTCCTGTAGCTCATGGATGCAAGGGCAAACCCAGTGTGACTGAACTGGGGGCTCTGGGTTTTCGTGTCCTCAAGACAGACTTAGTGACAGTCAATTCACTTGTCCAGGGCTTTGTGGTCATGAGGGGGTGCTGGAATTTTGCAAGCCCATGCATTTTTAAGCACACCAAAAGCTGGGCCCCCTTGGAGGGTGCATGGGCCACATACACACACACCTACTCTACCACCCCGATTTCTCAGCCAGTGAGAACAAATGTAAGGGCCATTGGGGACCCCACATGTGCTGGGACCACAGCGAAGCTGGCCTCATAACAGGGCTCCCTAATCCTTCCCATTGTCTGCCTCCAGAGTAACCCCCGGGCAGCCCCCAGCTTTGAGCCCAGAGGGCCAACCAGCAGGGAGAGCACCCATGGTGGGCTGGAGGGGCCCGAGCAGAGGCATCTGCTCCCCAAGGAGCCCCAAAACCCCGGGAGAGAGCAAGGCTGGTGGAGGTTGATGGGGCAGGCCAAGTGAGCAGAAGGTCCCCCAGTCTCCCAGCCTGAACCCCAGGCTCGCTTTCCAAGACAGCAGGGTGAGTGGCACCTCCCAGGGAGCGGAGGCAGGTGGGGTTTAGTCCAGCAGTAGAACCCTGATGTGTTGTTTCAAATTATATCATGTTGGACCCTCCCAGTAACTGTAGCAAGTATAAGAGTTAAAGAGGAAAGAAACACAAACGAGGCTCGTGTCAAAGACAGGTTTCCTTCCATTCAAACGTCAGAGGCGCTCCTGGCCGATTGGTCAGGAGTGCTTTCTCTTACAGACTAAGAGTATATATTGGTTTCAGGGTGAGGGGGCGTATCACAGGCTTGGAATATTTTATGTGTGTGGAGAAGTTGATGGTGGGGTTGGAATCTCTGGGAAGAGGGGAGGTTGTCTTGGGGCAGGCACCTTTTTGGCCTGGAGTGGGGGTTATCTGGGGGCTGGCGTGTCTGGTCAGGGAGGAGTTTGGAATGTCTCTGGTTGGAGATGTTATTTGTGGTTTATGGTCATGCTGACCTTAGCCATTAGGCTGATGCCCTTTGGATTTAGGTGGTTTTTTATTAAGGTGAACTTTAGCATGAGGGGCTCGTCCATGATGCCAAGGCTCCTGCTTGGTCAACAGGAAAGTTTTTGGTCAGTACTAGGCAAGGGGCTCAGAGAGCTCCCCACTTCTGACCCTCCTGGTGGGCGGCTCCCTCCAGCCTTCCTGCCTGAGTCGGATGTGTGTCTGACCTTGTCACCACAGCCCTGCTCCTCCTTTTCAGGATATGTTTGCCGTGGCCGTGTCCCTGGTATCTGGGAAGATCCTGTACATCTCTGACCAGGTTGCATCCATATTTCACTGTAAGAGAGATGCCTTCAGCGACGCCAAGTTTGTGGAGTTCCTGGCGCCTCATGATGTGGGCGTGTTCCACAGCTTTACCTCCCCCTACAAGCTTCCCTCGTGGAGTGTGTGCAGTGGAGCAGGTGAGGTCATCAAGGGAGCGCCTTGGTCCCTCTGGGGGTCGGGGGAGGGGCCAGGAGCTGGGCCCACCCCAGATGTGGTGCAGGCTCCCCGCCTCACCTCTGCACTCAGAGCCCACCTGTGGGGGCCGCCAGCTGCCCACTCTGGCAAAGGTAAAAGATAAGCAGTTGTTTGTCTCGTCAGAATACATTTAGAGGAAAAAATAGTCTTTTCATAGATTTCAGAGAGAGCAAACCATTAGGCACTTTAGAAATGAAGTTGTTTGCAAAGCTGGAACCTTGCTGCCTTTGCAGTCGGGGAGGCATGGTCTGGGGGCCGTGGGAAACTGGAACTCCCTGCAGTTAGGCGTCCCCTACCACCTTTGCAGCCACAACCATCAAGTGGGTCACAGCCCAGAGTGACTTCCTGAGGGTTCTTTACCTTGACCAGGGCTGGCTTTGGGTATATAGACTGTGAGGTCCCTGGGCAGATGCCGCCGGCCCCTAAGGCAGGGAGGGCCAAGTCTGTCTGCACTGTGGGTGGCAGCCTCCCTGGCTGCCCTGCCTGCCACTGTGGCCCCATCTATCCTGTTTCATTTCCAGCCTCCGCTCCCCAGCCACGCCCTCCCAGTGGGGTCTGGTCCAGTTCCTGGAGCCAGCTTGGGGGTGTGCCGGCCTCTGGGCCTCTGCCAGTGCCTCCAACCCCCTGGCTCTACTCAAGGCCTCCTGTGCTCCAGCTCCTCACTGCCCAGCTAAGTCAAGGACCAGGTGAATTCTCAGGGACCTTTCCAAGCTGGTGATTTTACATCATTTTCTGTAACTAGTCATTGCCCCTACTCTCCTCATTTCTTCTGCATAGAGGAAATGCTGTGTGAAAGACCAAGATCTAAGATATTTTTCTTTTTCTTTTTTTTTTTAATTTACATTCCCATGAAAGCAAAGATTTCTTTTTTTAAAATCCCTTTCAACTATTAGGGAAACAACTTTTCCTTCATTTCTGATGAGGTTACCCGATTGATTTCATGTTTTCACTAGACCTTTCAAATTTTTTTTTTTGAGATGGAGTTTCACTTTTGATACCCAGGCTGGAGTGCAAATGGCATGATCTTGGCTCATGGCAACCTCTGCCTCCTGGGTTCAGGCAATTCTCCTGCCTCGCCTTCCTGGGTAGCTGGGACTACAGGCACGTGCCACCATGCCCGGCTAATTTTTTATATTTTTAGTAGAGATGGGGTTTCACCATGTTGACCAGGATGGTGTTGATCTCTTGACCTCGTGATCCACCTGCCTCGGCCTCCCAAAGTGCTGGGATTACAGGCTTGAGCCACCGCGCCCAGCCGACCTTTCACATTTTAAAGGAAGTTACTATTTTACCAAAATACCGATGTAAGCCTTGAAATGCTGAGTTGTTCCTATTAGAACTGACTATCCCAAAAATACGTAGTAGGAAATGTTCTGTTTCGCTGTGGCCAGGCCTCTGCACACCTACCCCAGAGTCTGAGGCAGCTGAGAGCCCAAAGAAAGAGGCTTGACAAATTCAGTTTCTTAGAAGGAAACATTTAACAGGGTCTTAAGAAGCCATGTATGTGTTGTGTGTGGCGACCAGACAAGACTGGATCCCAGTGCCATTCCCCAGACCCAGGGCTTCCCAGTGATGGGCCCTGAGAAGGGCCTGAGGGCAGGATTTAACTTAGGTACCTGCTCTTACTCAGGGACAATAGGGAAATGAAATCTCCCTGGCCTTCACAGAAGTCCCCGCAGAGGCTTAGTTTCCAAGGTGGAGCTGCTGTGGCCTCCACAGCTTTTTGTGTCGGTGTTCTGTACGTTTGTGAGAGTGCTCAATTGTGGGTTGGTTGTGGCAGTGCTCCGTGAGTGTGCTCAGTTGTGGGTCGGTTGGTGTGTTTGTGGCAGTGCACCGTGAGTGTGCTCAGTTGTGGGTCGGTTGGTGTGTTTGTGGCAGTGCACCGTGAGTGTGCTCAGTTTTGGGTGGGTGTGTTTGTGGCAGTGCACCGTGAGTATGCTCAGTTGTGGGTGGGTGTGTTTGCGGCAGTGCACCGTGAGTGTGCTCGGTTGTGGGTGGGTGTGTTTGTGGCAGTGCACCGTGAGTGTGCTCAGTTGTGGGTCGGTTGGTGTGTTTGTGGCAGTGCACCGTGAGTGTGCTCGGTTGTGGGTGGGTGTGTTTGCGGCAGTGCACCGTGAGTGTGCTCGGTTGTGGGTGGGTTTGCGGCAGTGCACCGTGAGTGTGCTCGGTTGTGGGTGGGTGTGTTTGCGGCAGTGCACCGTGAGTGTGCTCGGTTGTGGGTGGGTGTGTTTGCGGCAGTGCACCGTGAGTGTGCTCAGTTGTGGGTGGGTGTGTTTGCGGCAGTGCACCGTGAGTGTGCTCGGTTGTGGGTGGGTGTGTTTGCGGCAGTGCACCGTGAGTGTGCTCGGTTGTGGGTCGGTTGGTGTGTTTGCGGCAGTGCACCGTGAGTGTGCTCGGTTGTGGGTGGGTGTGTTTGCGGCAGTGCACCGTGAGTGTGCTCGGTTGTGGGTGGGTGTGTTTGTGGCAGTGCACCGTGAGTGTGCTCAGTTGTGGGTCGGTTGGTGTGTTTGTGGCAGTGCACCGTGAGTGTGCTCGGTTGTGGGTGGGTGTGTTTGCGGCAGTGCACCGTGAGTGTGCTCGGTTTTGGGTGGGTGTGTTTGCGGCAGTGCACCGTGAGTGTGCTCGGTTGTGGGTGGGTGTGTTTGCGGCAGTGCACCGTGAGTGTGCTCGGTTGTGGGTGGGTGTGTTTGCAGCAGTGCACCGTGAGTGTGCTCGGTTGTGGGTGGGTTTGCGGCAGTGCACCGTGAGTGTGCTCGGTTGTGGGTGGGTGTGTTTGCGGCAGTGCACCGTGAGTGTGCTCGGTTGTGGGTGGGTGTGTTTGCGGCAGTGCACCGTGAGTGTGCTCGGTTGTGGGTGTGTTTGCGGCAGTGCACCGTGAGTGTGCTCGGTTGTGGGTGGGTGTGTTTGCGGCAGTGCACCGTGAGTGTGCTCGGTTGTGGGTGGGTGTGTTGCGGCAGTGCACCGTGAGTGTGCTCGGTTGTGGGTGGGTGTGTTTGCGGCAGTGCACCGTGAGTGTGCTCGGTTGTGGGTGGGTGTGTTTGCGGCAGTGCACCGTGAGTGTGCTCGGTTGGGGTCGGTTGGTGTGTTTGCGGCAGTGCACCGTGAGTGTGCTCGGTTGTGGGTCGGTTGGTGTGTTTGTGGCAGTGCACCGTGAGTGTGCTCGGTTGTGGGTGGGTGTGTTTGTGGCAGTGCACCGTGAGTGTGCTCGGTTGTGGGTCGATTGGTGTGTTTGCGGCAGTGCACCGTGAGTGTGCTCGGTTGTGGGTCAGTTGGTGTGTTTGTGGCAGTGCACCGTGAGTGTGCTCGGTTGTGGGTGGGTGTGTTTGTGGCAGTGCACCGTGAGTGTGCTCGGTTGTGGGTCGATTGGTGTGTTTGCGGCAGTGCACCGTGAGTGTGCTCGGTTGTGGGTCGGTTGGTGTGTTTGTGGCAGTGCACCGTGAGTGTGCTCGGTTGTGGGTGGGTGTGTTTGTGGCAGTGCACCGTGAGTGTGCTCGGTTGTGGGTCGATTGGTGTGTTTGCGGCAGTGCACCGTGAGTGTGCTCGGTTGTGGGTCGGTTGGTGTGTTTGTGGCAGTGCACCGTGAGTGTGCTCGGTTGTGGGTGGGTGTGTTTGTGGCAGTGCACCGTGAGTGTGCTCAGTTGTGGGTCGGTTGGTGTGTTTGTGGCAGTGCACCGTGAGTATGCTCGGTTGTGGGTGAGTGTGTTTGCGGCAGTGCACCGTGAGTGTGCTCGGTTGTGGGTGGGTGTGTTTGCGGCAGTGCACCGTGAGTGTGCTCGGTTGTGGGTGGGTGTGTTTGCGGCAGTGCACCGTGAGTGTGCTCGGTTGTGGGTGGGTGTGTTTGCGGCAGTGCACCGTGAGTGTGCTCGGTTGTGGGTGGGTGTGTTTGCGGCAGTGCACCGTGAGTGTGCTCGGTTGTGGGTCGGTTGGTGTGTTTGCGGCAGTGCACCGTGAGTGTGCTCGGTTGTGGGTCGGTTGGTGTGTTTGTGGCAGTGCACCGTGAGTGTGCTCGGTTGTGGGTGGGTGTGTTTGTGGCAGTGCACCGTGAGTGTGCTCGGTTGTGGGTCGGTTGGTGTGTTTGCGGCAGTGCACCGTGAGTGTGCTCGGTTGTGGGTCGGTTGGTGTGTTTGTGGCAGTGCACCGTGAGTGTGCTCGGTTGTGGGTGGGTGTGTTTGTGGCAGTGCACCGTGAGTGTGCTCGGTTGTGGGTTGGTGTGTTTGCGGCAGTGCACCGTGAGTGTGCTCGGTTGTGGGTCGGTGTGTTTGCGGCAGTGCACCGTGAGTGTGCTCGGTTGTGGGTGGGTGTGTTTGTGGCAGTGCACCGTGAGTGTGCTCGGTTGTGGGTTGATTGGTGTGTTTGCGGCAGTGCACCGTGAGTGTGCTCAGTTGTGGGTCGGTGTGTCTGTGGCAGCATCATTTATCATTTTGAAAAGGTAAAAATCCTGGTGCTGAAATGTTAGCGCTGCATAATTTGGAGTGTACCACACTCATGAAGTGTATGTAATTTTAGTCAGAAATGTAATAGAAGATTTCTCACCTGAAGGATCCACTTTGTGTTTTGATAAATTTTCAGTTTTCACCTTGGCTCTTGCTTGATTCCGCTGCTCTTCAGTCTGAGAAATGAGCAACACTATTCAGTTGTTTATTTGGATGAATAACTGGGCTCTTTGTTTTAGATTCTTTTACTCAAGAATGCTGCATGGAGGAGAAATCTTTCTTTTGCCGTGTCAGGTAAGCGTGGTTCCCAGTTTTTTTTAATTAGAAAACTCTGCAAACATTTCACCCCAGTGCCTGTCACAGGGCTTAGGAGGCCCGTGTGTTCCCCAGCACTGCCCACTCCACTTGAGGCTGGAGGGGCATGAGCCCTACCTGCAGGGACCCAGCCGGCCTGCTTCTGAAGTCTACCTGAAATCACAGTTACAGTTTAAACACGTACAGTTCACTAGAATGCGGCCAGCAGGGGAGTGACTTCTCCTGCCCCTCATGGAAATGGTGGCCAGGGGACCCTGTACTTTCTCTCTGTCTACTCCGGGGTTCACAGAGACTCTGAAAGCACCTGCAGCCTTTGGCTGTCTGTGCTTTTTTCTGGAGAGAGACCCACAGCTTTCCCCACAGGGTCTTGGTCCAAAGCAGGGTGACTGCTGGAGCATCCAGTTGCAGCGTCCGGAATGCCCCTGGGCCAGACCCTGGCACCCTCAGAGGTCAGGGCTGAGGACCCCTGGCAGGACCAGCACCCCTTTCCCATCTGCTTTACCCATGCAGAGTGCAGGCTGCTCCGGAGAGGGGCTGCGGCATGCTCCCACTGGGTGGGTGTTGACCGATTGGCCGTTCAGTATGGAGGGACTCAGAAGGGCAGACCCAGCTCCTCAGGCAAAGCAGAGGTGCACATCACCTGCAGCGTGGCCTGGGTCCCAGGTGAGGAGGGAACAGAACAGGGAACTGTTCCTGTGTCACTGTTCCAAACTTGAGTGCTGCTCTTCTCCACAGTGTCGGGAAAAGCCACGAGAATGAGATCCGCTACCACCCGTTCCGCATGACTCCCTACCTGGTCAAGGTTCGGGGCCGGCAAGGTGCTGAGAGTCAGCTTTGCTGCCTTCTCCTGGCAGAGCGAGTGCATTCTGGTTATGAAGGTAACAGCCAGCCCCAGAGTTGTCTCTGGCTACCCCCTCAGTTACTCCTGTGGTTCAAACTTAGCATCTGTACCGTGGACTCCCATGGCAGTTCCCTAGCCTTAGCCTCTCTGCTGCACCTGGGCAGAGTCTCCATCTTTCTGGACATCAGCACAGCCCGCTTGGCATCTGGCCCTCCCCATGACAGATCGAGCCATCTGGACACGAGCATCTCACCCCTGTGCACACCAGCACCATGACCCCTTCTCCCCTTCCCCTGGCTGCTCTGCCTTTTGTCCACAAAGTAGGAATAGCCCTGACAGGTCTGGTGCCCCACCTCCCTCCCGTCTTCATCCCCTGCCTTGTGCCTCAGCCTCGTGGGCCCTCTGTGAAGGGCACTGATGTTGCTGCCTGCTCCAGAACCCCAATTTCTTCCTCAAGCTGCTGGGATCCCTCCCTCTCCACCTTGGCCCGTCTTACCTTTTCCTGAAATTTCCTTTTTTCCCAGACAGACATGAACTGGCTGCTCCAGGTGAGTCAGTCTCCACACAAGGCTTGCTGTGCCTCTGTATGCCCAGCGTGTTCTAGACATCTCACCTGCAGAACCTGGTCACTGGGCCAGCTCACCTCTGGCCCATGACTGTCTTGGTCCCACTAGTTCTTCTGGCTACCCCACCCCCAAAATAATATCTGGGGCCTTCTCTTGAAGCCCAGGATACAAGGCATTGTGCCACCTTGATTGATCCTTCCTGTGATCCCTCTTTAAGAGCCTGCTTTGTGGTGTCTTGGTCCTTGTAATGGCCAAAATCCCTGGCCAGTAACTGTAGGTGCTTACCATGGCTGCTGAGCGAGTCACATGATCTCCAGATTCTCAGAAGGCAGGTGCAGTCTGCACTTGCTGAACCCGGAAGCCAGCTGAGTCCACGCTGTGCTGTGCTCATCACCTTCTTGGTGGTGAATGACAGCTTTTTTTTTTTTTTTTAAGAGATGTAGTCTTGGTCTGTTGGCCAGGCTGGAGTGCAGTGGCATGATCTCAGCTTACTGCAACCTGCGTCTCCCTGATTCTAGTGATTCTCCTGCCTCCGCCTCCCGAGTAGCTGGGACTACAGGCGCACGCTGCTGCATCCAGCTAATTTTTTTTTTTTTTTTTTTTTTTGTATTTTAGTAGATACAGGGTTTCACCGTGTTGCCCAGCAGTCCACCCGCCTCGGCCCCCCAAAGTTCTAGGATTATAGGTGTGAGCCACCACGCCCAACCAAATGACACAAATGACAGCTTTTTTAAAAAGCACTTTTTTTTTTGAGATGGAGTTTCACTCTTGCCCAGGCAGGAGTGCAATGATGTGACTCAGCTCACTACAACCTCCGCCTTCCTGGTTCAAGCGATTCTCCTGCCTCAGCCTCCCGAGTAGCGGGGATTACAGGCATGTGCCACCACACTCGGCTAATTTTGTGTTTTTAGTAGAGACAGGGTTTCTTCATGTTGGTCAGGCTGGTCAAACTCCTGACCTCAGGTGATCCGCCCTCCTCGGCCTCCCACAGTGCTGGAATTATAGGCGTGAGCTACCACGCCCAGCTAAAAAAGCACTTCTTAAAAGTGATAGAAATATTTTAAGTATGTGACTTTCTTCACAGTGTTTGATGTGTCCCTGCCTATATTATCGAATGTTCTCTTCCAAACAGTCACTAAGGTTTAGAGAGGGTACTTACGATTCAACAAGCTATTCCCCTAAACTACCAGAGTCTCCTTAAAGATTGACAAATATTGGAATTTTGAATGTTTTGTCTATGAATTGAGGATAATTTTGGATCTGTGACTCACTTTATGCAAATTTGTCCACTTTTGTCTAGTTTCTAAACTGTGAAGTTCTCCAGTACAATGACGTTTGCTAAGAAATCTGAATTCAGACCAGGTGGAGTGGCTCATGCCTGTAATCTGGCACTTTGGGAGGCTGGGGTGGGAGGATCACTTGAGCCTGGGCAGTTGAGACCATCCTGGTCAACATACTGAGATATTATCTCATTAAAAAAAAAAAGAAAAGAAAAGAAATTTCAATCCAAGTATATAACTCATTTTTCTGAAAAACAATTTGTCAGATCACTCTAGTTTCATCCTAAAAATCATAATGGCCTTCCAGCTTTATTTTGCCAAGAGTAGTCTCTACGTGGTCTGTGTGGTTTTGTTAACGTGGCAGTTCCAATTGACTAGACTAACCCCAGCATGCAAAGAAGCCGAGAAGGCCGGCGGTGATCCACGACCCGTGTCGGGTCTGCTCTGCCCTCAGTGTGGCAGGCTCTGCTATTCCAAGTCCGCGTTTCACTACTCCGAATCCACAGGCGTTTTCCGGTAGTTTTAATGTAACATTAAATATGTACTTCTTGGGATCACAAATGTGTGCAATGTTCTATTCTTTCAGCTCCTAGAATTCCTCCTGAAAAGAGAATTTTCACAACCACCCATACACCAAATTGTTTGTTCCAGGATGTGGATGAGAGGTAAGTGGTCTTGGCCCGCCCACTTTTTCATGTTTTTGATATAAAAGCTATTTAGCTAAAGCCAAGCCTGCATATTGGTTTTATAATTACATGATAATGGACAAAAATATATAATTACATACAGGTAATGAGATAATTGTGGAGTTACACTGAAAACTTCCTAAGATATGCACATGGTGTAATTGAGGCTTTCTGGGGAGCTGGTGATTGTTCTAATTGAGCCTGTCTTAATTATCCCATGTAAACCAGTTTGGAGTAGATGATAGTACAGACAGGGGTGGCGTTGCCTGGGACCAGTGTCCAGGGGGAAGCCAGGGGTGCCATTGGCTGGATCCCAGCAGAAGTCCATCTTCCAGCCTGTGTGCTGGAGGCTGCTTGCAGGGACAGGATTTTCTCCATGCCTCAAAGCCCCACTCAGTTCCCTCTCTCTAGCTCTCCCACTCAGGGTGCTGTATGTAGCAGGTGCAAATGGTCCCAGTGAGATTTGAGAGCACCCTTGTTCTGAGTAGTTTCTGCCCTGACCATACACCTTCTCCCAGCTCCTCCTCCACAGATGCATGAAGACTCAGAAACCACTTGGGCCGGCTGGGTACAGTGGCTCACGCTTATAATCCTAACACTCTGAGAAGCCAAGATAGGAGGATCACATGTGGCTAGGAGTTCGAAACCAGCCTGTTTGAAACCAGGGTTCAAAACGTAGCCAGACCCTGTCTCTACAAAATAAAAAGAAAAATTAGCTAAGTGTGGTATGGTGCACCGGTAGTCCCAGCTACTCAGAGGCCGAGGCAGGGGAATCACTCTAGCCTAGGAGTTCAAGGTTATGGTGAGCTGTGATTGCACCACGGCACTCTAGCCTAGGCCACAGGGAAAGACCCTATCTTGAAAAAAAAGACAAGTGTGGGCCACTGGCCGCAGTCATAGAAAAGTCACCTCAGAGGACACCTCAGGAAACGGACCAAGAAGCAGCAGCGAGCTGCACTTCCTGAACTGCACCAGGTCACCTCCTGGGAGCTGTGGGAATCAAGGCCTCTCCCCCTTCTACTCTTGGCCCAGGGACACAGGCCCCCACCCATGGAGTCAGAGCCCGCACCCATGGAGTCAGGGCCACACAGCTTCCTCAGGAGGCTCTGTGGGTAAAAAGGGATGTCACTTCCAGCTCCAGGTTGCTCAGGTGTGTCTGCTGGGCCACCTGGGCAGAGCCAGCGGAGGCAGGGTCCAGACACAGGCTTCTGGACACCACGCTGCCCTGCAGAACCAGGATCTTGGAGGGCAGAGCCTGGGGCTGTGCATCTGTAAAGCAGCCTCGGGAGATTGTGCTTCCTTCAGAGATCTGAGAATTGTCTGTAACCCACTCCCCCACCAACCTGGTGTCCAGGTCAGCCCTGCACAGGGAGGTTGGCAGACAGGTGCACGTGGCATGGGGGGCCACAGTCTGCGAGCTCTCCTTGATGAAGCCTGGTACGTGGCCTGGCTCACAGAACCCAAGGCCAGGCCTCCCCTCCTGCTTTTCACCCTCCACCCCTTTCCCTCCCTCCTCTTCCTTCTCCCCTTCTTTTTCCTTCCTATCCTCCTGCTCCTCTCTTCTTCCTTCCTCTTCCTCCTCCTCAACCAGGCTTTGATGGGCTGGATGCCAGGAGCATTCTGTATATTCTGTCTAAAGGAAATCATGAGGCCAGGAGAGACAGCCTCAGACAAGGAGGAGGAAATCAAAGAATAACACCAGGCCCTTGAGAAATTTCTGCACCATGGTCTAAAGACTCTCAGGGAAAATCCTTCCACACAAGCAGCAGAGTTGGGGAAATATCCATTTGGATGCCGCAGTGTTAAGAGGCAGCTTGGAAGAAGAGATGGTCGGCGGAGCCAGCAGAGGGCGCTGGACACAAACAGAAGCAGAAGGCGCTGCCCAAGTTCGGCTGGGTCTCAATGAGCAAAGCTGCAGCTCTGGGCATGGAGCAGAGACCTGTCCAGCCGCCGAGACCCCAGAGAAGCCACAGTAAACCAACTGGACGCCAAGGCTAGAGTCACACGAGACCAGGCTGGAAAAGCACATAGAAAGGGTATTCCAAGGCCCAGGCGAAACTTGCTAAGCAAAAATCCATGCCAGGCCACGTGTGGCCAAACTAATGAGTGACACAGAAAAGGGAAAAGATGCTGGAAGGAAAAAAACCAAAAGCATGATCATGACTTACCATTCGGGATATGAGACGCAGAGCTGAAGCACTCGGGCCCCAGCGGAGGGAGCCCGCTTCCGCATCCTAGAAGCTGGGCCTTCCATTGCTGTTGGGTGGAACTCTAACTGCTCCTCTCTTAGTCCAACTGTGATCTTGGAGGGTGGGGAGTGGGGTTTGGAGTATGTCTTCCGTTTCCAGGGAATAAGATGGATCTTGGTGACAGTCTCCTCCACTGTTCAGACGCCGATCCTAGCGTGTGTCTGCTTGTCTTCCAGGGCGGTGCCTCTCCTGGGCTATCTACCTCAGGACCTGACTGAGACCTCAGTGCTTGTGCAGCTTCACCCCAGTGACAGGCCCTTGATGCTGGCCATCCACAAAAAGAGTAGGTCCCCTTTTCACGGGAAATCCTAACGTGTCTGGCGGAAACTCGGGCACTCTTGGGGCTTCTTGTTGGGACCAGTCTAGCCCTGACAGGTCAGATCAGCTAAGGACAAGCAGGTGGTAGACGCCGCCTCACCACCTCACTCCTGGCACTGCAGTGCCCAGTGGAGATGAGAGAGTGGTGAACTCACATGAGTTCTTTTGTGGCCAGTTGTTCTCAGGCCGTGGCCTGAGTCAGTGGCATCTCATGCTTACTGTTGACTTCAGTGGCACATGGGCGGAGGGGAGACCAATCATCTGTGGCTAGGAAGGTTCTGACCAGGCCAGGGAGTACACAGTGTGTGTCCTCACCAAGCCCAGCCCTTATAGACGCCAGTGACACTCTAGCAGAGGTGAGACACGGGATGAAACAGCTCCTGCTGGAAACAGCATCCTTGTAATTGACAGCAAAAGCGGGAGGTTGAAAGCAGTAGTTTTGGAGAAGTGTTCACACTCCTAAAATTTGCAGATGGTCCCAGGCCTGAGTGAGTCTTGACTTGCCTCTGTACTGCAAACCCTGCGTGCTCCCCTTTTCCCCTGAATGCTGGCTTTTGCTCTCCTAGTCCTGCAGTCTGGGGGCCAGCCTTTTGACTATTCTCCCATTCGGTTTCGTGCCCGGAATGGGGAGTACATCACGTTGGACACCAGCTGGTCCAGCTTCATCAACCCGTGGAGCAGGAAAATCTCCTTCATCATCGGGAGGCACAAAGTCAGGGTGTGAGTGCTCTAAGGGCCTGAGGCGGCTCAGGGGTCTGGGGTGGGGATCCCGGGCACAGATGGCCTAGGGAGGGGCTGAGGCTAAGACCAAAACTGCCCCCTGCCCCCAGTCTGGAGCCCCAGGCCGGCAGGCAGGGGTGACCTTCCCCTGCCCCCACGTGGGAGGAACCTCCTTCAGGCAGAGTTGGGAGCGGGTAGGCGGCAACCTGGGGGGCTGCAGGTGAGGGGCAGAGGGGCCCGCCCAGGCAGGCAGCATGTGGTGGCTATACAGTCACGCCAGAGAGGTTCCCTGGTGGGGCCCTGTCTGATGAGTTAACAAGATGAGTTAAAACCACACAGGGGCCCTTTGAATGAGGACGTGTTCGCAGCCCACCCGTGCACAGAGGAGAAGCCCCTGCACCCCAGCATGCAGGAGCTCACGGAGCAGATCCACCGGCTCCTGCTGCAGGTGGGTGCGGTGCCTGCATGCCTCCTCCTAGGTAGCAGCCCTGGGAGCCCCTGTGGAGGACGTAGGCTCTGCCCTTCACCCTGGTCCTGTCACATCCACTCAGACGCCCTCAGCTGTCATTCTTTGAGCATCCCCCACGGGACAGTTTGGGCATAGACCAGGGTAGTTCAAGACAGTCCGCAGCACCCTTGGCTGCCTCCAGCCTCGCTTCAACATTGTCTCAGCTGCAGCCCTGAGCGAGTGGCTGAAGGACCTGTGCAGACACCATGCCCAGACAGGCCACATAGCCCCAGAGTGCCCTCTCAGTGGTGTGGGGACTCACTCCGATCCAGAGCAATGGGACTTAGGGACATTGTACTCAGGGTCACTGCAGTCAACCCCGTGCCTGAGGGCATCTGCTCCTCAGTTCCCGGAGGCTGTAGAGTGAAGCTGTCATCACATCTTGTTTGTTTTAGACCCTCCCCAGAGGCGTGGCTGGCATTGCTGAGTGGGTTGGACGGATTCCTTTGGCGCAGTCTCCTTAGTGACTGCACGACTGGGTTGGGGCACCATGGCTAGAGGCCAAGAGTCCACCTCTGGAGCCTGACCCTGGGGTTCAAACCGTAGCTTCCCTCGTCTTCGCCATGTAGCCTTGGGCGGGTCACCATCCTCTCTGTGAAACAGGGTGTGTTGGCGGGGGGCCACATGCGTAGCTCAGCAGCCCTGGCTGTGTCTGTATTGCTGTCTGCTCTCTCCCCAGCCGGTCCCCCACAGCGGCTCCAGTGGCTACGGGAGTCTGGGCAGCAACGGGTCCCACGAGCACCTCATGAGCCAGACCTCCTCCAGTGACAGCAATGGCCATGAGGACTCACGCCAGAGGAGAGTCGTACGTCCCCTTCCATTCTCCCTGAGAAAATGAGGTTGTGGACGTCCGTTCAGAGTTAAAAAGCACACTCAAGACAACCCTTGGCAGTCAGGAGAGGCTTCATCATCACAGCTGTTTCTGCTTCCTTTCTAAACTTTGTTCACTTGGGACTTACTCTTTAATTTCTTAAGAGTCTAAACAGCTAGAAGCTATAGCTAAGCATTTGGTTGAAACTTACGTAAAACAGACCAAACAAGCAACAGTGAAGATTTAACTAGGATAGAAAGAAGAAAATATAGGCCCGGCAGGGTGGCTCACGCCTGTAATCCCAGCACTTTGGGATGTTGAGGCAGGTGGATCACCTGAGGTCAGGAGTTCAAGACCAGCCTGGGCAACACGGTGAAACCCCATCTCTACTAAAAATACAAAAAATTAGCTGGGCATGGCGGCATATGCCTGTAATCCCAGCTACTCAGGAGGCTGAGGCATGAGAATAGCTTGAACCCGGAGGCAGAGGTTGCAGTGACCCAAGATTGTGCCATTGCACTCCAGCCTAGGCAACAGAGTAAGACTCCATCTCAAAAAAAAAAAGAAGAAAATTTAATGTGCTGTTTTGCTTTATTTTTTATTGTTCCTTAGGATCTTCGAATAGGTTTTATGTAGCTCTGCCTCTCAGATTTCTCATTCAGATTTTCCTTCTGTGTTGCCGAAATTCTCTCAGCCATCCTCAGTTCTCACTTTGGGGGACAAACTGAAGGAGGTCTCCTCAAACGAATAACGTGTTCATTTTATTTTTCTTCAAGGAAATTTGTAAAAATGGTAACAAGACCAAAAACAGAAGTCATTATTCTCATGAATCTGGAGAACAAAAGAAAAAACCTGTTACAGGTAAAAAAAAAATTCTGCATTTCCTTACTGAAACCAGAGTGTGGCCGAGTGAGAAAAGGGACCTGGGTGGAACGCTCACTGTGGCGGGCAGGGCTGCACCTCCTCCTGTGTTCAGCAGTCTGCAGCTTCAGGAGGCGAGAGCAGCCTGGTCCTGGGCTCACTCCGCCAGTGCAGGCACTGATGTCTGCTGGGTACCTGGTGCCCTGCAGGCCTGGTGGAGTGTGGCCAGGTGTGCAGGTCTGAAGAGCTGTGGCCGGGTGTGCCTGCCTGCCCGCTGGATGTGCCTGGGAGCCATGGCCTGGGCCGCTCGTTCTTGCTGTAGAGTGGCTGTATGGCCATGTGCTTACACTTGCATAACCTTTACACACTCACACATACACACACACACACACACCTGCTGACAGACTACCCAGCATCCACATACACAAACCTGTCTCAAGTGGAGAGTGTCACCCAGAGGCCATCGACCCACTCCCACTGCAGCAGCCCTTGCCTCACCACGTGCCACACTTCCCAGGCAGCTTCACACCGTCACCTGTGGGTTCGGGTTCAGGCTGCTCCTCTGCCCAACATGCATTTCTCACACAGCACGCACACAGACGTGCACACACATGCATGTGTCCCAGTCCTCCCCCTGCTGGGCCCTTGCTCATTCCCTATGCTCAGGCCAAAGCCTCCTGTGGGAAACGTCGGGCCCAGAGCACACTCCAGCCAGACACTGCTAGGACTTCTGGCCTTTGGGACGCGTTGGTGGACATGCTGCATGCTGGACTCTGTGCCGGGTTTCAGGGAGACACTGATGAGGTGGACATAGCTGTTTGCTCTGCTCGAGGGCCCCTACGGACAGGCATGTGATGTATGTCATGGGGGCAAGAGTCGACTCCACAGCATAGTGCAGGAGGCAGTAGGCATCATAATCATTACTAGCAGAGATCACATTGAAAACATTGGCCTGGCCCAGGAGGGACTTAAAGTACATGGGCTCTCATTGGCCCTGAAAGTTTAAGAGTTCAAGTGAGAGCTGGCATCTCCCACTGCTGAGTCCCTGACCCCTGGGGATGGCCTAGACCCCGGAGAGAAGCAGGCACCAGGCTGGGCAGCAGCCCCCTCCCAGGCCTCCCTGTGGACGGCACTGTGGTGCTCGTGCCCACAGGGCTGCCGGATGCCAAGCTGTCCCTGGGCTTCCATACCCGTGAAGCAGATTCTGAGTCCCCAGCCCTGTCTTCAGGTAGAACGAAAATGCTTTCTAAATACACAGTGTTTTCTTCAGGAGAAAAATAAATGAAAACCATTTTGCCGTTTCTTCAGAAATGCAGACTAGTCCCCCAGCTGAAATGAAAGCTGTCCCTGCCGTGGAAAAAGACAGCGTGGGGGCCAGCTTCCCGGAGGAGTTGGCCTGCAGGGAACAGCCCACCTGCTCCTACCAGCAGATCAGCTGCCTGGATGGCGTCATCAGGTACGCCGGCACTTCCCGCCGAGTCTCCACCATCTCCTGCCTTCCTGCCCCTCGTGTTGTGTGGCATCACCAGTGGCTCATGCCCTTCACACAGGTACTTGGAGAGCTGCAGTGAGGCTTCCACCCTGAAGAGGAAGTGCGAGTTCCCAGCAAACGTCCCAACACTAAGGTCCGGCGATAAGCGCAAGGCCACAGTCAGCCCGGGGCTGCGTGCTGCAGGTATCTGATCTGGGTAGAGCCGTTTCTATGGGTAATAGTATAAATCCTCTGGAGTGGAATCAGGCATTCTCAAGGCTTCCATGGACACAGTCTAAGCGTTCAGGCTATTTCTCAAATGATGAAAGTAGTTTAAAAGTCAGCACCCTCCTTAGAAGAGCTAGAGGTAAAGATGATTCTGTCAGAGCCTTGGCTTTGAGAACAGGAACCCAGCGGGGCTGCTGGAGGCCTGAGAATGTCCCCTGACCCCCTCTTGTAGCCACACTGGTCTTGAGTTGTCAGCCTAGGGCAGGCCTTCTTTCCAATGCATCTCGGAGGGGCCCTTGTCCCTAAATGTTAACATGCCCCATAAATCACAGACTGCTTAAATGCTGTCAGTGTTGCTGATGGTCACCACCAGGATTAGAAACAGGGTACCCTGGCCAGGCACAATGGCTTATGCCTACAATCCCAACACTTTGGGAGGCCGGGATGGGTGGATCACTTGAGGTCAGGAGTTTGAGACCAGCCTGGCCAACACGGCAAAACCCCATCTCTACTAAAACTACAAAATTAGCCGGGCGTCGTGACACATGCCTGTAATCCCAGCTACTTGGGAGGCTGAGGCAGGAGAATTGCTTGAACAGGTGGAGGTTTCAGTGAGCCGAGATTATACCACTACAGTCCAGCCTAGGTGACAGAGGGAGACTCCATCTCAAAAGAGAGAGAAAGAGAAACAGGGTAACCCAGATTACAGTTGGTTCCTGACTGTCGGAAAAGCCCCTCCCTGCAAGCCTGCAGAAGGGCTCCCCGGCCGCAGGCAGGAGCACCTCACCCGTGTTCCTGTAGCTGCCAAGCTGCTGCACCTCCCCGCACCTCTGCGGGGTTTAAGTGTGTACTGCTCCCATTTCAGAACGGTCTCTTCTCCAGTGTTTTCCTAGGAGTAAACACTGGGGACAAATCATCCCATGCCCAGGCCGGAGCAGGATGGGATGTATGCACCCTGGCACGGGAGCTGTACGGGCCCTCGGGTGCACAGTGTATTCTAATGGCGCGCTCATGTTTGCTCCCCCTTCTCATGAAGAGGCAGAGCTGCCCTCCAGGGTGAACAGCCGCACGGGAGTTGGCACACACCTGACCTCGCTGGCACTGCCCAGCAAGGCGGAGAGTGTGGCGTCGCTCACCAGCCAGTGCAGCTACAGCAGCACCATCGTCCATGTGGGAGACAAGAAGCCGCAGCCGGAGCTAGGTACGACCACGGGCCCTTGGATCAGAGAACAGTCTGATTTTAAACATGAAGACAAGAAGTTTGCCATCTTAAATTTTCCTTTCTCTAAGTGCAGAAGAACCCCACCATAGCCTAATAAGGGCTGTTTCGGGAAAGCCAGTTGTGTGAAGTGCAGAGTGGGGTGCAGCCAGCCGGAGCCCAGGCGGCAGCCTGTCTGGGTCCCTGCTGCCCTGTGGTGCCCCTGGTGGCAGTTGTCTGCTCTGGTATCAACACAGGAGGGCCAATTGCGGTGCAACATCTTATCCCTTTTATTTGGTGCGGAGAGAGCCCTGGGAGCGAGACCCCACCTGCCTCTTCCCTGGGTGGGGCTGGCGGTCTTTCCTCTGCCCAGCAGAAGGCGAGACCGTTAGCCCTCCCTGTACATGGACAGGAGCCAGTACACAGGTGGTAAATAGACTTACAATGAGCACATTTGTGGCTGAGTGTTCTTGTTTTTAGAATATTGTGATGAAAATAAATCCTGAATGTGTTCTTTACTAAGAGGGAGATGACGAGGAAAACGTACATGTCTAAGATCCAGTCCCCTAGCCCTCCCTTTCAGGATGTTCAGTGGGCCCTGCCTGTCCCTGTCCTGTCTGCTCCATGGGCCCACAGGGTCCCAACTGTCACCATGCCTGTTCCCAGACCCAGAAAGACTCAGAACACTGTTGTATTCTGAAAGCTAAACACAGCCCAGGAATACCTTTAACAGCAGAGTTGAAGCCCAGGGGCCCCTCGTTTCAGTGTGTTCAGTCCCCTGGTTCCCCATCCACCCGGCTGTCAGGGCTGTCCTGCCCTACTTAATGCCTTTTGCTGTGAATTTTCTCGGAAAGCTAAATGAAAGCATTGTGAGTTTCATCCTCATGCCACAGGCATCATGAAGTCACTTTATATGTGAACGATTTGTCTTGTCCATGAATACAGTGTGGCCTTCAAATACAAGGGACCTGTGTGGAGCAGAGCCCTGGGTTCTTGTGTTACAGAGATGGTGGAAGATGCTGCGAGTGGGCCAGAGTCCCTGGACCGCCTGGTGGGCCCCGCCCTGGCCTGTGGTCTCAACCAGGAGAAGGAGCCCTTCAAGAATCTAGGGCTCACCAAGGAGGTGCTTGCTGCACACACCCAGAAGGAGGAGCAGAGCTTCCTGCAGAAGTTCAAAGAAATAAGAAAACTCAGCATTCTCCAGTCTCACTGCCATTACTACTTACAAGAAAGATCCAAGGGGCAGCCAAGTGAGCGAAGTAAGTGACACCCGGATTAAAAGGAGGTTTAAAAACTGTGTTCCTGTCGGTACTGAGTCCAGTGCTGGTTTCAAAATGTGCCATGTGTCCAGTTTCAGAAGCACCGACGTGTAAGACAGCTGTTGGAACTTCCTGGCAATGCCATCTGTTTCTGTAGAACTTCCCATGGGGGGGTGGGGGCGCTCTCAGGATGCCAGCTCTCATTACCTGGGGGATAGTCCCAGGCTAGTCCCTGGGGAGGGTAGTGCTGCCGTGTCCACGTTTCTTGCCTAACCGTGTGGCCAGGGGTCCTACCCAGATGGAACCCCCAGAGAATCAGCTAATTCAACCTCAAAATAATGGGCATCTGGTGCTGGGCACATGAGGAAGGAGGGGTTTGCCATGCATGGTGCCTCCCCAGGAGATGCACCCTCCTGGCTGAGCCAGCCTCAGGGCTGGGCTTCAGACTCCAAAGTTGGGAAGAGTCCATGGTCATGTGTGGAAGCTGCTCTTCAGGCCAGATATCACTTGGGCGGTTGAAGGTCAAGGGATACAGTAAAATAGATGAGATGAGCTTCTTCACCCTCTTTCCTGGTTCAGGACTCTGGCTCCTGATCTCCCATATCCCCAGACAGGGCCTGCATTTGTTAGAGATGCCACCTCTTCCTTTCCCCTCAGGATGCTGGCACAGGGATCAGAGCCAGTGAGCCCAAGAAACCAGAAACCACTCACTACAAGGACGCAGCTCTCCCGGGTCTCTGGGCAGACACAGCAAAGGAAATGTGTAGAAAGTAAAGAATCCTGTAGCTTCCTTACGGATGATGTCTTCTCCACTCTTCCTTTTCGCTCCTTCTTCCCCAGACTCAAGAGATACTGCCAGCCCATAGAGAACCTCTGTAGAAATTAGAAAATGTGCCCTCGATGGCCCTGAGCAGGCCCATCCCATGGGACCAGCCTAGTGCAGAGGTCGAGCTCTTGCTTGCCCCCTAGACAACTGTGTAGGCTTGCACAGTGCACAGACTACACAGCTGTCTAGGGCAGCCCTGCCAGACCCAGATATGATATCCCGGGAACCCCGTGATTTAGCCACTAGTCTCACCAGGGGGACAGATTTCTTCTGGGAAGAACACCAGATAGAGAGGCTGAATTGCAAAAGCTCCATTTGTGTAGCAGTGTGCCTTGGACCAGCCATTTGTCTTCAGCACGTCACAAAAGCATGGGACCCCCTTGGCACAGCTGACAGATGTCCCCACACACCTGCTGCAAGAGCCCAAGTCACTCTGCATGATGTGAGAGGAAAAGCAGAGCTCCCTGGACTCCCTCCCGCTCCCCAGGGAGGCCACGGGGACACACCTGGAGCCCCTCCCTTACCAGTTGAGTCCTGCATCCCCCTGAAGGAAGCCGTACTCAACAGCACTTGTCACTGGAGAGGAAGAATTGGGTCCAAGGGCGGATGTTCCCCTCTCATCTTGCTCAGGCTGTTTGATGGGTGAAAGAGGGAAAATCCCTCTTTAGGAGCACTAGTGATAGTGCTTATAAAATTGAAAAATAAGGGTTACCGGAGCTCAGTGGTTCTACCTTTCAGATTTCGCAAACCAATTTTCCCCCCAAATGCTGGGGAACGGCAGAGACATGACAGCTTTTTAATGTATTTACTTAACAAATAGAAGTTTCTAACACCGCTTATTATGTTAGTATTTCATAAAAGAAAGGACATCCAATACCAGAAGAGAATAAGGAACATGATCCTGCAATTAAGAGCTCGTCCTGCCGGGCGCGGTGGCTCAGCCTGTAATCCCAGCACTTTGGGAGGCCGAGGCTGGAGGATCACGAGGTCAAGAGATCGAGACCATCCTGGTCAACATGGTGAAACCCTGTCTCTACTAAAAATACAAAAATTAGCTGGGCATGGTGGCGCGCGCCTATAGTCCCAGCTACTCAGGAGGCTGAGGCAGGAGAATTGCCTGAACCCAGGAGGCAGAGGTTGCGGTGAGCCGAGATTGCACCATTGCACTCCAGCCTGGGTAACAAGAGCGAAACTCCGTCTCAAAAAAAAAAAAATAGTTCGTGCTTTCAGTTGATTCCATTTAGTTTTATGGGAAAGCCTAACGTCTTGCCCTGATTTTCTCACTTCATGGAGGATCAAGGAGACCTGCCAGGTGGACCGGGCGAGCCCTGGGCGAGCATTTGGAAACCCAGGACTGTTGAATGAAGAAGTGCCTTCAAATTTGAAGTTACAATTTTAACTCCAAGTATTTGTTTTTCTGCGTTAGCTACCCCTGGACTAAGAAGTGCTTCCGGAATGGATTCACCTTGGAAAAAAGCCGGAAAGAACAGAAAGCTGAAGTCCAAGCGGCTCAAACCCCGAGACTCTTCTGAGAGCACCGGATCTGGGGGGCCCGTGCCTGCCCGGCCCCCGCTCATGGGCTTGAACACCACAGCCTGGTCGCCCTCGGACACGTCCCAGTCCAGCTGCCCAGCCATGCCTTTTCCCACCCCAGTGCCAGCTTATTCCCTGCCCGTGTTTCCAGCGCCAGGGACTGTGGCAGCACCCCCTATGCCTCCCCATGCCAGCTTCCCAGTGTCTGCTGTGCCCGTGGACCTCCAGCACCAGCTTGCAGTCCAGCCCCCACCCTTTCCTGCCCCCTTAGCTCCTGTCATGGCATTCATGTTACCCAGTTATTCCTTCCCCTCGGGGACCCCAAACCTCCCCCAGGCCTTCTTCCCCAGCCAGCCTCACTTTCCAAGTCACCCCACACTCACATCTGAGATGGCCCCTGCCTCACAGCCCGAGTTCCCCAGCCGGACTTCCGTTCCCAGACAGCCATGCACTTGTCCAGCCACCCGGGCCAGCCCATCAGCTGTGGGTAGGGCCTCTCCGCCGCTCTTCCAGTCCCGCTGCAGCTCACCCCTGCAGCTCAACCTGCTGCAGCTGGAGGAAGCCCCTGAGGGCGGCACTGGGGCTGTGGGGACCACCGGGGCTACAGAGACAGCAGCTGTGGGGCCGGACTGCAAACCTGGCACTTCTCGGGACCAGCAGCCGACGGCACCTCTGACCGTAAGGATTTTCTGATGCTCTTTCCCCAAGCAGGCACGCCCAGTAGGCTGGCGGCACATCCTCAGCTCAGACATGGGGGTTACACGACTGAGGTTTCTACCAAGCCCTGTAGGTTTTGCTGTGAATGTATGTGCCAGAAATTCATGCTTCCTAGGTAATCCTGTCAGTAGATTATTTCAAGCCTTCGTTGTCTTGGAGTCTGAAGGAAGGAGGAGAGACTGTGGTCAATACAGAGTACAGACAGAAGCATGTGACTTGACAGTGTTTATGGACTTCAGTTTTGTTTTGTTCTTTGAGACAGAGTTTAGCTCTTGTTACCCAGGCTGGAGTGCAATGGCGCCATCTTGGCTCACCACAACCTCTGCCTCCTGGGTTCAGGCAATTCTCCTGCCTCAGCCTCCTGAGTAGCTGGGATTACAGGCACGCGCCACCATGCCCAGCTGATTTTTTATGTTTTTAGTAGAGACGGGGTTTCACCATGTTGACCAGGATGGTCTTGAACTCCCGACCTCAGGTGATCTGCCCACCTCGGCCTCCCAAAGTGCTGGGATTACAGGCGTGAGCCGTGATGCTTCAAAGATAAAGCACAATCAGGTTAAATAAATACCAGAACCAGGGCTCCTCGGGGTGTGATCATGATAAATACCAGAACCAGGGCTCCTGGGGGTGTGATCATGATAAATACCAGAACCAGGGCTCCTCGGGGTGTGATCATGATAAATATTAGAACCAGGGCTCCTGGGGGTGTGATCAGGTTAAATAAATACCAGAACCAGGGCTCCTGGGGGTGTGATCATGATAAATATTAGAACCAGGGCTCCTGGGGTGTGATCATGATAAATACCAGAACCAGGGCTCCTGGGGTGTGGTCATGATAAATACTAGAACCAGGGCTCCTCGGGGTGTGATCATGATAAATACCAGAACCAGGGCTCCTGGAGGTGTGATCAGGTTAAATAAATACCAGAACCAGGGCTCCTCGGGGTATGACCATGATAAATACTAGAACCAGGGCTCCTGGGGGTGTGATCATGATAAATACCAGAACCAGGGCTCCTGGGGGTGTGATCAGGTTAAATAAATACCAGAACCAGGGCTCCTGGGGTGTGATCAGGTTAAATACCAGAACCAGGGCTCCTGGGGGTGTGACCAGGTTAAATAAATACCAGAACCAGGGCTCCTGGGGTGTGATCAGGTTAAATACCAGAACCAGGGCTCCTGGGGGTGTGACCAGGTTAAATAAATACCAGAACCAGGGCTCCTGGGGTGTGATCAGGTTAAATAAATACCAGAACCAGGGCTCCTGGGGGTGTGATCAGGTTAAATAAATACCAGAACCAGGGCTCCTGGGGTGTGATCAGGTTAAATACCAGAACCAGGGCTCCTGGGGGTGTGATCATGATAAATACCAGAACCAGGGCTCCTGGGGGTGTGATCATGATAAATACCAGAACCAGGGCTCCTGGGGTGTGATCATGTTAAATAAATACCAGAACCAGGGCTCCTGGGGTGTGATCATGATAAATACCAAAACCAGGGCTCCTGGGGGTGTGATCATGATAAATACCAGAACCAGGGCTCCTGGGGGTGTGATCGTGATAAATACCAGAACCAGGGCTCCTGGGGGTGTGATCATGATAAATACCAGAACCAGGGCTCCTGGGGTGTGATCATGATAAATACCAGAACCAGGGCTCCTGGGGTGTGATCATGATAAATACCAGAACCAGGGCTCCTGGGGTGTGATTAGGTTAAATAAATACCAGAACTAGGGCTCCTGGGGTGTGATCATGATAAATACCAGAACCAGGGCTCCTCAGGGTGTGATCATGATAAATACTAGAACCAGGGCTCCTCGGGGTGTGGTGCCAGAGCCTGGCTCACGTGGCCTCGGTGCAGGAGGAGGAGAGGGACACAGCCCTAAAACCAGCGTGACCTCAGTTTCCATCGTCCACAGGCTTAGGGACACTGAGGGATTCTTAACCAGTTAGTGAAATGGTCGTTGTAGTTGCAGTTGAACACTTGTGTTTCCGAGCAAGCTTAGGTGTGTGGGAACGTCAGCAGCAGTGCAGTCCGTAGGCCTCAGGCGAATCCCTGCCTTGGCCGGAGGACGGAGGGCTCCCTGGGCGAGGAAGTGCGAGCATGTAGAACTGCAGAGCTTCTCCCAGTCTGCCTGCCACCTCCCGGCTTCTGCTTCTGGAGCCCTGGGCCTACAGTCTGGGTTTCCAAGGCTAGGAGAGTCAGGGATGCTCCCCAGGTCAGGCCCCTCCCTCACTCCCAAGGCAGCCCCAACTCAGGGTGCTGTGGGAGACGTCTTCTCCATCCATGTCTGCTGCATGAGAGGAGGGGGCTCTGCTAAGGAGCAGCCTGAGGCTTTCCCCCTGGAACCAGGTATTACAGACTTTGGTGTGACTCTCACAAATGAAGTGTAACTAGACAGCATGCAGAGAGCACCAGTGGAATTTGCACCATAGGCCTGGTGGTGACACGTGGTCTGCTCATTAGGCGCTCCCTGGCCGTGAACCTCACTGCGGCTCCACAGCTCCCCTCCACCCTCACCCCACTCATGCCCCCTCACCCCACTCCGCTGCATGTGCTGTGTCCTGACTGAACCCCTGAACAGCAGTGTCTGCTTCCTGTCCTTAAAGCGTGACGAACCCTCAGACACCCAGAACAGTGACGCCCTTTCCACGTCAAGCGGCCTTCTAAACCTCCTGCTGAATGAGGACCTCTGCTCAGCCTCGGGCTCTGCTGCTTCGGAGTCGCTGGGCTCGAACTCGCTGGGCTGCGACGCCTCCCCGAGTGGGGCAGGTATGTTGGCCCTGGTCAGGCATTAGGCGCTTGAGAGGTTCCCACAGGATGCACTGTTCCAGAATCGCAGGCCGGCCTTTGTGCTGAGGACAGGGACCACTGGCACTCCCCACGGAGCTCCCAGAGCCCACGTGGACACCCACACAGACACACACTGCCTGCTCAGCGTGGCCGGCCCTAGCCAGTCAGATCCACGTCCTCCCTGTTTGCTTCCGCCTCGGTGCCTGCAGGCCTCACACCCCAGCACCTTGTTGGACCATCCCTCTGACTCCCCAGAGAGCGGTTTGCCTTCTTGAGTTAGTTCCGCTTGTGTCAACTTAGGGTGTGGGCCACCTACAATCCTCTGCCCACTGGGATCTCTCAAATGTGATCTGGAATCTCAGTCACTAGAAATGCACACACTCTCCGTAAAACTTAAGCTCCCCTATTTCTCTGGAGTGAGCTTTCAGCTCACCTCCCTTCGCAGGCCTCCTGCCCAGGTGAGGCTGGCTAAGGCGATCTCCAGGCCAGCTGGCTCCCCTTGTGGGAAACAGCAGTGCTCTGTGGCTGCATGAGTGGAGATGGTGAGAGCTTGGGAGAGAAGGTCAAGGCTTCTAACACAGGCTCGACCTGAGCTGCTTGGGGCCTCCCAGGAAAGAATCTGCAGGGTGCTGGCAGAAATCCTGTTTCCTAATTACCCAGAACGTTCAAGAAGTGGGAAGAGGAGGGGAAAATGCACCAGCAGACACCAGTACTTAAGATTAGGCAGGAAAAGGCTCGGCTGTCTCAGATCATCATGGCTTTAAGGAAGCACATTGTGCAAGGTTGAATTTCATATGTCAAGGTTTTGACCCACCACATTTTTTGTTTTTAAAGGCAGTAGTGACACAAGTCATACTAGCAAATATTTTGGAAGCATTGACTCCTCAGAGAATAATCACAAAGCAGAAATGAACACTGGTCTGGAAGAAAGTGAGCGTTTCATTAAGTGCGTCCTTCAGGACCCCATCTGGCTGCTGATGGCAGATGCGGACAGCAGGGTCATGATGACCTACCAGCTGCCTTCCCGGTAACCACCCAGCGTTTTCCTAGGCACCCGGGGAGGGATGGGGTTCAGGAGTCCCCAGAAACAGCGAGGTTAAGGTCATCCAGGTGGGGCGGGGCGCCCCTCTGAAAGCCTTAGATTGAGTGGAGTGCAGCAGAGAGGCCGGCTTCCCTCTGGACAACCCTACCAAGCACAGGATGACCCTGCACTGTGGCCAGGGTAAGCCAGGGCCGTGTAGATTCACACGCTACAGCCTTCGAGGAAGATGGGCTCCTTCACAGTGCCACACTCAACTTTTACAAAGCACTGGTGCCGGTATCTTGCTTTGTTGCCCAGTAGCCCTGTGAGGTGAGGTAAATGGGGTGTGTCTGTCTGTCTGACTTAGAGTTGAAGGAACCAAGTGTCATGGTACGTGACCAGCCCAAGGAGCTGGCTGCTCTGCAGTGACCTGGGGTCCTGTGCCCAGGCTCTGCGTCCACATCAGGCTGCCATAGGGAACCACGTGTAGTCTCTGCCCCTGGGGAGCACCCGCTTGGCAAGGGAAGGTGGGAGGAAAGAAAGGCAGGAGAAATGAACCTTGTGAGTTCGTTTCCACATGCCTGTAAAGAAACACCTGAGACTGGGTAATTTATACAGGAAAGGGGTTTAACTTCCTCACAGTTCTGTAGGGAGCCTCAGGAAACTTACAGTCATGGTGTAAAACGGGAGAAACAAGTGCATTCTTCACAAGGTGGCAGGAAAAGAGCAAAGTGAAGGAGGAACTGCCAAATACTTATGAACTCATCAGGTCGAATTAGAACTCAGTCATCATCACAGGACAGCGTGGGGGAACTGCCCGCACGATCCAGTCACCCTCACCACGTCCCTCCCTCAACACGTGGGTATTACAGTTTGAGATGAGATTTGGGTGGGGACAGAGCCAAGCCATATCAAACCCCTAAGGCCTCTAGTAGCCAGTGGCAGGGGAAGGCCATCCTGCTGGCAAGACTCCCAGATGAACCACCTGTGTGGAACCGAGCCCAAAGGGACAAGGTTACACCTGCAGACACCCAACTCCCAGGTCTGTTGTAAAATACGGTAAAGTGGAATCTTGACAGGATCCTCATTTTCATAGAAAAACTACAGATTCTTTACTAGGGAGATTACGTTACCTTAAACGGTGATTTGTTTAAAGAAAAGGAAATTTGCATTAAACAAAATCATTTAGAACTACGTTGTTTATATTGAAAGAATAAAAACAAAAACCCTTAGGACATTTGAAAGCTTACCCGTTTCTAAATATCTTGCGAAGAAACTCAGAAGCGGTTTTGAAGGAGGACAGAGAAAAGCTGAAGCTCTTGCAGAAACTCCAGCCCAGGTTCACGGAGAGTCAGAAGCAGGAGCTGCGGGAAGTGCACACGTGGATGCAGACGAGCGGCCTACCCGCAGCCCTCGACGTGGCGGTGAGCTCAGGGGCTTGCTTTCTGATGCGGCCGGAAAGGCTCTGTGATGGGGATTCTCTGTACTGTCTTTGCAACTTCTCTTTCAATTTAAAACTTCTCAAGTGAAAGGTTTATTTTTTAAAGGCACAACACCAGGTCTGCTTCAAAGAACTTTCTTCCAGTGGCTTTTCAACATTGTTTCCAAAAAGGTTGAAAAATCTAATCCCAGTCACTTGCTGAAATCTGTTTTTTCTTTCTTTCAATTCTGTTTTCTATTTTACAAAAAAAAAACCTGTCACAAACCCTCCGTGTCCATGGAGACCATTAAATAACAGTGGAAAAACCAGGTTCCTGGTGGCGTGCTCTCCAGGCACATGGCTCCAGCAGCCCCATGGGCATGCCAGCCCCTCTCTCCTGCTCTGCCGACCTGCTCCCCCACACACCGTGGTAGCTGCTCTTATCACGGTGTCAGGGTCTCCAGCAGCCGAATGCAGTGCCGCTTCTCAGTCCTTGTCCCAGGGACTGTTGTCGACAGTGAGTGGCTCTCTCCAGGGAGCTCTTTCTGCCCTTGGCGTCCAGGGCCTGTGCTCCAGGATGTCCCTCTGGCCTCTCAGCCTCCCCACAGGCTCCTCCTCACCTCTTCACCCTTGGCTCCGTGTCTACACCTCTTTTCTCCCATGCACTCCGCAAGCCCTGGAGGCGTCCTGGCTCTACTCCTCTCAGGCCCCAGCCATTGGGTGGGCAGATTGTCTGCACTCAACCTTGATGCCTCCCGCATCACCACACAGCTTCCAAGCCATGAGGATACTTCCACGGCATGAGCCCTGAATGTCATGGTGGCCTCCCAGCTGCGCTCACTACTCCCCTGTCCCCTCCTGTCAGGTGCTGGCACCCACACTTCAGATCCCTGTCAGCACTGCCCCACCTCAGTCAGAACAAATGGTGCAAAGCCTTACACATCTATTTCATCGCCCATTTCTTCTCTCCTTCCCTCCTCTCCAGCTACACTGGCCCCCTGGCTATTTGCTGGACTGCCCTGGCAGGCTCCTGCCACAGGGTCTTCGAATGTGCCCAGCCCTCTGCTTGGAATCCTTTCCTCAATAGACCCGTGGCCTACCCTGGCTGCCTCGGGGTCTGTTTTCCACCTGCCACTGCATTAGTAATATTGCTGCATGGCAGATGGCCCCAACACTTAGTAACTTCAACAATAAATGTGTATTATCTACGCGGTCTGTTTGGGTCAGGCACTTGAGAGCAGCTTAGTTGGGTAGTTCTGGCTCAGGGTCATTCCTGACATTGATGGCAAGATACTGGCGTGGACTTCTGTCACCTGATGGCTGGAGGATTAGCTTGCAGGAGCCTCACTCGCAGGCCTCTCACGTGCTGCTGGCTCTTGGCAGAGGCCTCAGTTCCTTGCTGTGGGGACCTCTCTGTAGGGCTGCCTGGATGTGCTCACAGTGTGGCAGGTAACTTCCCCAGAAAGAACAAGAGGAAGCCAAGGTGCCTATTACGACCTAGAATCAGAAGTCAGGTACTCTTTGCCTTTGCTGCCAGCCGCCTCCCAGGTGATACTTGGTCACCTGCATCTTATTCAGTTCGAATGACCTTTTTGCAACAACTCAGATCTCAAGTTTATTACTGATTTCACTCTTTTTTTTTTTTCTTTTAAGGAATGTGTTTACTGTGAAAACAAGGAAAAGGGTAATATGTGCATACCTTATGAGGAAGATATTCCTTCTCTGGGACTCAGCGAAGTGTCAGACACCAAAGAAGACGAAAATGGATCCTCCTTGAATCATAAAATCGAAAAGCAGACATAACCCCCGACCACCTTCAGGCCAGCAACCAGCCAGCTACATGAGATGGTGCTTGGAAGAGGTGAAAGATCTTCATGGCTGTTTCCAATGAAGTGGACACATATTCTCATGTGGCTTTTTTTGTTTTAGGAAAAGAACAGTTTTCTGAAGGGGTGACTTAAAACTGTGGAGGGTGGGGAGGGTTTGGAAAGAAACGTGTTTTTATATATAAAATATGAATGTGGAGTTTTGTGGGATGGGAAGAGATTTCAGCTGTGATTTAACTTGAGGAAGACTAAAGGCCTCTTAGTGTCAGGGAAGTTGCCTCAGTGCTCTCAGAGGTCCTGTGGCTGTGACACCAGCTGGGGACTCCGGCTCCTCGAGCTTTCCAGGGCTGCTTGCATCAGATCGAATTCTGTCCTCTCTTGGGGACTGCTTTTATCTGAATTATCATTGAGTCAAGGCGGACTTTTCTCTGACATACCAAGTGGAGATAGTAGCCTCTGCTAGCTTTCTTTCAAAACGTTTTGCGTTAAACACTGTGAAGGCACCGTTTGGCAAACCAACAGCTGTGGCTTCTGGTACCCTTGCGGCCAGTATTTCAATCTGACATGGCTTTTGTTTGTAGTGAACAAAGTTGAAACATTTGCTGTGGACTAAAGAAGCCTAGTGGGTTGTGTGGCCAGCCCCATCGGATGAGAGCACGGGCAGCCCCTCTGTGTATTCCTGCACCGTTCTTGTCTCCTTTCAGACAATGATGGCTGATACGGAGATGCGAGTATGTTATCAGTCATCCCTTTATAGTAACTTCCCTCTGCAAACCAGGCTGTGACCAGCACATGTGGACCCAATCCTGTTTGTCCTCTTCCGTTGGAGCCACCCAGACATCAGCTCCCACCCAGCCAAGGCTACATCACATCTTCTGGCTGAGAGCAGCCACTGCCACCCTGCATCCCACAGCTTGCAACTGTGTCTGTATCTTCAGGGGTGCCGTGAGCTCACCTCTCCCACTGTACCCTGGGGTGGGTGCCCAGCCCTCATTCTTTTCATGAGCCCGTCCTCTCTTGGAGCAGCTTCAGGCCTCTGCCAGTGTCGCCAGCACTTTTAGGTCATTTGGACACTTGGGGAAAAGCAAGGGCAACCTGCCCAACTTTGTACAAAACCTCATGTTGTATATTCCAAAGATGGCTCAGAAGATGTAATATTGGTTCCTGTTGTGAATTCAAAGTTATCGCTGAAGAACAGTTGACTTAAAATTGGACCAAGACTATGAGGCTTAAATGGGACCAGGGTTTTCTTTTTTCTTTTTTTTTTGAGACGGAGTTTCACTCTTGTTGCCCAGGCACAGTCTTAGCTCACTGCAACCTCCGCCTCCCAGATTCTAGCAATTCTCCTGCCTTAGCCTCTCTAGTAGCTGGGATTACAGGCGCCCACCAGCATGCCTGGCTAATTTTTTGTATTTTTAGTAGAGATGGGGTTTTGCCATGTGGGACAGGCTGGTCTCGAACTCGTGACCTCGGGTGACCCACTCGCCTAGGCCTCCCTAAGTGCTGGGATTACAGGCGTGAGCCACTGCACCTGGCCGGGACCAGGGTTTTGTTTACTTTTTGATGGAGGTGAAATCTCTTTGTAATCCACTAGGTTTTCTTAGTAAAACCATCTTATGCCTGAATATTGAACCTATTTTTCATAAACACAAGAACACTTAAATTTTTCTTTAATTTACAAAGTAACATCACCTGCCTCTGCCTAAGATACGGTAGCAGTCTTGCATTCCTACGGCGATTAGATGTTACAGGCTCCTTCTCGCCTCTGAAGTCGGATCATGGGGACTAGGTGTTAACCTAAGGTTACATTTCTGTTATTGAAACACAAAACTGCCAAAATCCTACCTGCGGTTATGAATGTTTACTGTCGGCATTATTTTATTACTTAACACATGCTCCTTGATTGTTAACTGTGTAGCTTCGTCACGTGCCAAGCAGTTGACTCGATAGAATCATCCTGTGAATGTTTATGTGGCGCCAAGCGTCGTCACGTTTTCCTTAGTGCGTGTGCCGACACAGGTGTGAAACACTTTTTCTCTATTTTAAACTGAGCCTTCTTTTTAATATACTCCTAAAAAGATGTAAATAAGCCCTCAGAGTTTGTGTGATGATTTGGTGAGCCTTGCCGGACAAGTGGTTTGTTCGTGTGCAAACCGAACTTTGTTTACCCAGTGCAATAGATTTGTTTGATTGCTTGTGTCTTTTTATGACCTATTTGCCTTTTAGAAAATTGGTAAATAAAGCAAGTATATTTTTATTTTTACTTGTATGTATGTTTCACATAACACAGAGCAAAACCTGAATTCAGATGAAAGATTATTTAAAAAAAATTTTTACAGAAACTCCAGAAATTCTGCATTAAACAATTTTACATCCCAAAGGCCTCCTCGTGGGCACATCCCCTGTACAGTTGCTCCTTGCTGGTTCCCTTTCTTCCTGTGTGTGTCACACGCACCCTCCTTCAGGCTGAAAGAGTGAACTTTGTGTAATGCAGACCTAATCAAGTCATGCCCACGGTCTTTTCACTTTCAGATGGAGGGGCGCAGCTGTCTGACTCAGCCCCCAGAGTGCCCCCAGCTCTGCCCTCAGGCACCTCTCTCTTCCCTGCGTCCCTGCCCCAGGTTATCTGGCCTTTCTGGCTTGGCTGCCTGTGTTCTGGTCATCGGGCTAGGGCTAAAGGTGCGGAGGTCAGGAGGCTTCACCAGAAAGGTCACATGTCCCCCTGCGAATGATACAGGCAGGGCAGCACAGTCCCCTGACCCCAGCCCTTCTTTCACAGTGATGAATGAAGCCTTGTGAGGCCAGAACTAGAGGCCCGAAGAGCTGCTCCCCGCCCCTCACTTTTCAAACCATGACCCTGGGGGTTGGAGCACAGAGCTGAATGGATCCTGAACCCAAGGCCCAGCCTCTGAGAAGCTCCCTGAGCAGGAGGGAGGAGGCTCTCCTCTGCCTGCTTCTCTGGCTGCCTAACTCCAAGTGCTGATGGGACAAAAGGCAAAGCCCTCCTAGCGAGCACTGAGGCCTCTGCAAACGGCCCTAAATGGGCAGATTGGTTGTTTCACCGAACTGAGTGCTTTTGGGAGACTTTTAATTTTATCTTTATTTACCATATAACCTCAAGGGCACCCCCCTGTCTTTTATTGCCAAACCAAAAGGAGATTCTCTGAGTCTCCTGGGCAGATTGCCCATAAGGGGCCTGAACAGTCTACAGGCCGCAGCTGCCTTTGTTCCCCCAGGGATTTATGGCCTGCCACCCCCGCTGCTAACCAGTACCCCCGCAGCAACCACTGCCCTGCCCAGCCACTGGTGGCCTGTATTCCTGGCTCTAGGGGGATCAAAGGGTCCAAATGCTCAGGAAGTCTGTACTCAGGCAAACTCTGAAGGCAGGACTGGCCTGAGGGACAAATGGCAGGAAGTGTTGGCTAGGGGAGGCTGCTGTGAAGGGGGGGTGCTTGGTGACCCCGAGATAGGCCAGGTTTCTGGGACAAAAAGGCCGTGCCAGCTGGCTAGTGCACCACCAAAGGAAACTGAAGCTGACTTTGCAAAAGGGACCTTGGGCAACTTCCAGTCCAACCAAGAAGGATTTTGCTGATTGACAGCCTTCTCTACTTAAGCTGTTTCCCTTCAAGGGTCTTTGGTCACACTGAGGCATATCCCAGTGCTTAGTATCTCCTTCCCTCGACTCTAGACAGCATTCCTCAGCCCCCACACACTCCACGGTGTCAGACAAGGGAGTGTGTGGACCTCTTGAGGTCCCTAGTCTTCCCTTTAGCCTCCTCTGTCTCATAACTGCTCTCACCTGTGTCCTTCTGTTTTTACAAGGTCAACTTTATGCCATGTCCCATAACCATAAACAATCCTTTCTTGCCTTCTGTATAGATTAATTCTAAATGTTAAAACCCTATGAACAGTGTTAGATGGTTGTGAATTTGAAAATTGTTGTCTCCTGAGCCAAGTAATGTGTTGAGATCACATTTCTTTTCTGGTGCAGCTTTTTGTTTTTCCTGGAGTTCCTGGTTGCCTTTCATTTTCTGCTTGCACCATTTGCCTTTAGCATGTCCTCCTTGCCCCTCAAATACAGTTCTCCATCCAATCAGGTGTTCAGTCCATTTTTACCCAGAGTCCTCCTCCAGGGCCCCGATCACCCTGTTGCAATATAAATTGCCTCATACAAAGCATTGGCCTTATTCGTTTGGATAATGAGAGGAATATCAATCAGTTTGCAAACTTGGGAGTACAAGAAATTTCAGTGAGTTTAATTTTCTCTATCACAGTTTCTCAGAGTAGTGGAAATGTCGCTGTAGTCACTTGGGGCAGAAGGATTCTTCCCTGAGGTAATGTCTAAGCGTGAAGGAGAGTAAAGTCACAGGCGGAGCATCCACTTCCTTGGGATTCACCACTCCAGCCCCATCCTGTCAGCCCCACTACTGGGCAGGTGGGGAGTGTGTGAAGTACAGGGGTAGTTTCACACCCAGGTGAGTGCTGCTGGGCTGGGGGAAGTCTCAGGACCGGGCTCACAAAGCAACCCAGAGGCAGATCAGGGACGGCTGGGAGCGGACAGGAGGGGCTCCCAGGTAAACAGAGGTCAGTGAGGCGGCTTTGGGAACCTTCAAACCTCTCACCAAACTCACCCTGCCGGAAGGCTGCAGGGGTTCCTCTGGTGGGGAGCCAGAAGTAAAGGGGCCATAGGAGGCCTGTCAGACCTCTGCAGGGGCCATGGGGCGGTGGGTACGGCCTAGTCCTGCCGCTCTGCTCAGCTGCTGCGGTCCCGGATGTTCCCCTCCCACAAGGCCTTCCAGTCCATCCTGCCAGGGACACCCCTCACCTACCCTACCTACCAGCCTTCTGTGAGGCCAGGCTCTGCTGGGGGTGCAGGGAGGTGGACAGGGGGCCCTAGGTCCGACCAGTCCAGGGACGCTCACAGCCTGGAGGGGCTCAGAACAGACCCTGACGATCCCAGCCCGGGTGAATACTGGGGACTGAGGTGCTGTGCGGGGCAGGCTGGTGCCTGGCGGGCCGTGGTCGGAGAAGGCGTCTCCGCGTTCCCGCTCCTCCACGCAGGGTCTGGACTGACACCGGTGGGTCGGGAGCTGGGCTGGGGTCCCCAGGGCGCTGCCCGAGGGCGCGGCCCCACCGCCCAGGCACCTCGCCAGCGGACAGGCGGAGCCAGCAGATGGGCTGCCCGCCGCCACGGGGGGGTCGCGGGCGTCTGGCCGGCACAAGCGCGCCCGCCGCCTGCCCGCGGGACAAAGCGCGCGAGACAAAGGCGCGGCCAACACCTGTCGCTCTTGGCGCGGCTGCCGCTTTTCTCCGCCGAAGCTGCCGCAGCTGCCAACTGTCACGGGCATCAAGTTACTGGGGCCAGACGGCAGCCTCGGCGGGCCTGGCGGGGGTGGGGAGGACGAGGGGACTGGGCGCGAGGAGGACGAGGAGGGGAGGAGGGAGGCGGCAGGAGGCAGGGGAAAGGGAGGTTAAAGGGGGTCCGCGGGGCCGAAGGGGACTGGGGGAGATGAGGAAGCTCAGGGGGACGGGGGTGTGACCGGGGGAGAGCCCGGTGAGCGGCGCGGGCAGGAGCACCGCGGACCCCTCCCCACTAGGACTCCACTGCTGGCGGATGGCGGCGTCGGGGGTCCGGCTCGGCGTCTGGACGGGTCTGGAAGAAACGCAGGGCCCCCCCGCCACCGCTGCCCAATGGACCCTGCCTCCCCCGGGCTCGGCAGCCACCCTAGCCGGGACCTGAAACCCCTGTAGGTCCGGAGACCGTGGACTTGACTGTGGCTCTGCACCCCAGGGACCCAGCTCCTGGGGCCTGTGGCCCGAGCGCTCCGTTCCGGAGGCGCCATCGGTGAAGGAGGGAAATGAATGAATGAATGGGTGGACGGAGGGACGGACGGACGGGCGAGCACCTGCTCGCACGCGCGGCAGATCAGTGGTCCTAACGCAGCAGACGGAGAGAAACAAGCGCAGGCAGGTCCGCAGCTCCCCCGGGGTCGCCGCCCCAGTGCCGCCCCCGCTGGGGTCTCCGGGAGGCCGGGCTGGGGACCCCCCCTCGCCCAGCCAGCTGCCCTCCCGCCCTCCAGGGCCGCGGGGCCGGACAAAGCGCGCCGCCCCGATTGGCTGCAGTGCGCCTCGCGGTCGGCGGCCCTGGGCCAGCGCGGCCAATCGGCGCATTGAAATGCAAATGAGCGGCTATAAAAGGGGCGGGGCCGCGGCGGGCCGGAAGCCGCCGGGAGCGCGAGCGGCCGGGTTGGGGCTGCTGGGCGGCCGCGGGGCAGTGGAGGGCGCCGGCGCCCCGGTCCCCTCGCTCCCCGTCCCTGCCGCGCCCCCATCGGAGCGGGCATGGCGCCACCCTCGGCGCCTGGCCCGGACCGTGTGGGCCGCGAGGATGAGGACTGGTGGGAGACGCGGGGAGACCGCAAGGTGCGGGCCGGGGCGGTGGGCGAGCGAGCGGGCGGGAGGCCGTGCGGGGCCGGGACTCAGTGCCCCGCTTCTCCGCAGGCCCGGAAGCCGCTGGTGGAGAAGAAGCGGCGCGCGCGGATCAACGAGAGCCTGCAGGAGCTGCGGCTGCTGCTGGCGGGCGCGGAGGTGCGGCGGCCCAGGGGGCGCCCTGGGGCTGCGGGGCCGGCGGGCGGGTCCCGGAGCGCGCGGCCGGTTCACCGCCTTTCCCGCCCGCGCAGGTGCAGGCGAAGCTGGAGAACGCCGAGGTGCTGGAGCTGACGGTGCGGCGGGTCCAGGGCGCGCTGCGGGGCCGGGCGCGCGGTGAGTGGCGGCGGGGCGGGCAGGGGCGCGGGCCGTGGGCGCCTGCCACCCCGGCCGGACGGAGGACTTTCCCTCCCGGCGCCCCTGTCCTGTTGGCGGCGAGGGCTCCCCCTGGAGCAGGGTGCGCCCTCGAGTCTCCTGGGTGAGCCGCGTCCCCGCGGGCCGGGTGGGCTGGGCCACGCAGTCGCCGCTCACCGCGCGGGACGCGGCTCTCTCCCTTCCACCCTCGGGCCCAGAGCGCGAGCAGCTGCAGGCGGAAGCGAGCGAGCGCTTTGCCGCCGGCTACATCCAGTGCATGCACGAGGTGCACACGTTCGTGTCCACGTGCCAGGCCATCGACGCCACCGTCTCTGCCGAGCTCCTGAACCACCTGCTCGAGTCCATGCCGCTGCGCGAGGGCAGCAGCTTCCAGGATCTGCTGGGGGACGCCCTGGTGGGGCCACCTGGAGCCCCTAGGCGCAGTGGCTGGCCTGCGGGAGGGGCTCCAGGATCCCCAGTACCCAGCCCCCCAGGTCCCGGGGACGACCTGTGCTCCGACCTGGAGGAGGCCCCTGAGGCTGAACTGAGTCGGGCACCTGCTGAGGGGCCCGACTTGGTGCCCGCAGCCCTCAGCAGGCTGACTGCAGCCCAAATAGCCCATAGTGTCTGGAGGCCTTGGTGACCAACGCCAGACAGAGTCCTGCGGGGATGGGCCCGGCCCTCCCAGGAGCTCCTCCCTCCTCCCAGAGGTTCAGATGTGCTGGGGTAGGGCCCTGGAAGCCCCCCAGGTCCACCCTTTCTCCTCCCCTGGATGGCTTGCAGGGCAGCCCCTAGTGACCAGCCCAGTCAGGCCCAACCCCGTTTCTTGAGGAAGAAACTTTTATGGACCCTGAAGCTCTGGGTGGGTGTAGGAAGAGAGCTACAGGCAGGAGGAGGAATCTTGTGGAGCTACCGGGGCTCTCCCAGCTTCCTGCGCCCAGCCTTCGCCAGCCTTGTGCGGGTTCTGGGGGCAGAGGTGGCAGGAACGGTTCTGGGCAGTAGTGTCCCAGGCAGCCCTGGGCTAAATAAAAGCTTGAACTTGCCATTTCCACCAGGAGATGAGAGGCAGGTGCGTCCTGCAGCACTGCTCAGACCTGTGAGGCTCTGTACATCTTGTTCGTAGTACACTTGAGTTTGTGTATTCCACTGCCATCAAATGTTACAATTTTACTAAATAAAGAATTTGGAGCTCGTTACCCTTGAAGTCTTGCTGAGCGATGTGTCACTAACGTGTCAGATGTGTAAATGCTAAACAGCACATTCCCTGCATCTGAGCTTGTGAGTGTCTTAAATTCATGCACGAGGTATCCCCGCCATCCCCACTGGAGGCCCGTGGCGGTCTCTGCCAGCGGGCAGCGCTGCTGCCTCCGGATGATCCTGCCCAGCCTGTTCGTGGGCACTGTGTGTGTCCCAGAGAAGGATTTCCTTTGCATGAGGCTTGTCTCCAGGGTAACTCGATGATACAGAGGTGACCTGGCTCTGCCGTTTTCAGGAATACTAAAATGAACACCTAATTGCTGCCTGCTTGGCTTGAAAGTACCTCTCAAAGACCTGTTTTAGCACCCACGCACATGATGTAGACATCAATTTATTTGTGTGAGGTTGTTGCTTATCTTGTCTGAAGAAGGACCTTCCCCCCGGTGCCATTGACCTCAGGGTCAAGGAGACCCACCCAGGTTGCGGCTTGAAATGAAAATGCCAAGACCTCAGAGGGCTTGAGTCTTGGGTCAAACTGGGTCCATGAAGTCAGAACCCTCAGGGATAGAGGGTGACAGGGTGGGCAGCTGGGGGTGTGGGAGCCTGCCCCCTTTGGCTGGCAAGGCCTGCAAATAGCACTGGTCTGCTGGCTGCAGCCACTGCCACAGTTAGCCCAGCCCCCTCCTCCTGCTCCAGGGCCCCAGAGGAGCAGCTTCACACTGTGGGTTGGCAGTCCCCAGGCTGGGGTTGGGGTGTGGCACCTTAGGGGTGACACTGGGTCTCCTCTCTGCACATGTGCGTTTGCCTCCAGAACACCTTTCCAGCAGCCCCCAAGCAGGTCCTGGCCACCAAGTGTGTTTCAACGTTTGGGGTTCACTCAATCATAGAAGCCACTGGGCTCTAACAAGATGCAGCTTAACTTTATCATGTGAGCTGAGCTTTTGGGGCGGTGGAGGAGCCAGCGCTACGAGTGATGGAGACACCCTTCCTGGGGTTATTTAAATTTCCTCAGACACACTGATGTAGGAAGTACCCACAGGGACACGGATGGATAACAGGCCATCCTGAAAGCCTGCTGTCCGGTGTGGCTCCCAGTAGCACCCAGAGGCCATGCCACTGAGCTCTCTGCCACTCGGGAGCATCAGCCACCGACTGCTTTGAAGGAACAACTTTCTCCTCTCAGATCCACTCATCACACCTTCCCAGAGGCCCTAGAAGGGGATCAAGGGGAAGCCCAGGAGACAAGGGGCAAGAGGCTGGCCTGGGGTACAATGTCGCTAGGACCAGGGTCAGAAGCCACTAACCCAGTCGGGCCCCGTGCCCCTCCAGCCCTAGGGTCAGATTCACTGTAATTGTCAAGTGCAGCTTCTTGTGGAAATGTAAAAGTTGTCCCACATGAGGACCACTGTTGGCCTCCTGGGGCTGAGAGCCGCTCTTGCCTGCGGTGCGGCCTGGGGTCACCAGCTTCCCAATCAGCTCCTCTCTCCCAGCCCGCTAGGCTCCCACAGGCTATTCTATGGCCTTGCTTCACCCTTCCCTGAGGGCTGTCTCCTTCCCACCTGGACCCCTGGCCCACTGTATTAGTTTTCTTTGGCTGCCAAAACCAAGGACCACACACACAGTTATCACCTTGCAGTTCCACGGGTTAGAAGTCTCAGGATCCACTGGGCTAAGATCAAGGTGTCAGCAGGCAGAGCTATGTTCCTTCTCCTGACTCCTCCACTCAGGGGCCGCCCGCATTCCTCATAGGAGGGCCCCTTCCTCCATCCTCAGAGTTGCTCAGCAGCATTGCATCTCTCTGACCCTTCTTCCGTGCTCACGTCTCCTCCCTCCTACCTTTAAAGATCCTTGTGATGACGTCAGCCCCCTGGAGAATCCAGAATAATCTCCCTGTATGAATGTCTTTAGCTTAATTCTTAATCACATTTGCAAAGCCCCTTTTGCCATGTAAAGTGGCATATTCTCAGGTTCTGGGACTTAGGATGTGGTCCTGAAGGACATGATCTGTCTGTGACACCTGCCTGCGCCTTGGCCCAGCCATTCTGCCTTCCATCGTGAAGCAGTCTGGCGCCTGCTTCCCACACAAGTGTGTGCCACCATCCCTGCTCACCTGCTCAGGTATTCTGCTCTCCACTGTACCATTAGCTTCTCCTCCCTTCTGGATCATTCTCATTAACCTACAAATAGGCTGTAATATTAATACCTTCCCTCGGAAAAGCCTCCCTGGATCTGACATACTGTTATCCTCTGCTCTCAACAATTTCCTTGAAAGCATAATTTACCCTAATTCCACTTCCATACATCTCATTCCTCTTCATTCCTTTCCAAGCAAGCTATTGGCCACCCCTCCACTGAAACCATACGGTCAAAATCTCCAGTGACAGGCAGGCCGCCAACCCAGTGGTCCTGTCTGCATGTCAGTTTCACCTCTCATGGGTTATGACTGTCCATCTGGAGACTCCTCCTCCAACGTCAAGGGCACCACACCGGCGTTCCTTCTACCTCACCATCATCTTCAGTCCCCTGCCCAGGTGAAGCCTCTGGAAAGTGGAGACCTGATGCGCCCTGCCTGTTAAAAAGGGCCACCCAGTCCATGTAGCTGAGGACCAGCGCCCGGCAGGAGTTTCAGTGGGACTTCAGGCTTCGTTAAAGGGCCATAGGCTTGTTTAGGGAGGCGGGGACAGAGTCAACGGGGAGAAGTACCACTTCCCCTAGGAGAAGGCACATGGCATGGAACATAGTAGCCCCAGGGCAGGCCCTGAGCCCAGCCCTAGTTTTCTAGCTAAGGATCACGTGAGAACCCCCTGACCTCCAGAGTCTCTAGGAGCCCGGCTGCTGGCCGGTTCCGCGTCCACAAGTCCGCAAATGGCATCCTATGGCTTTGCCATGGCCTAAGACCCAGTCTGCTCCAAGACTGAGTCCCTGGACTCCTGGAGAGAGAGGGCTGCCCCTTCGTGTCCTCCAAGAGCAGACAGTGTGGGGGGCCTCCGTGGGCCCCGGGCTGGGTCCGTGGCACCGGCACCTAGGAGGCACGCCCTGCCCTCAGGAAGCTAAGAACAGAATCCGGGGGGCAGCCTGTGCCCCTGTAACGAGGAGGAGTTGAAATAGGAAATGTCCATCCCTCTGAGATTTTGCTCTGCATAGGAGAGTGGAATTTCAGAGGGACGGACATTTCTTGACCATTCGTGTATAGGAAACAAGGCAATGAGAGAATGATCAATGGCATGGGAGTTGAGAAAAAGGTGAGATGACCTCTGTTAGGCAGGCTGCTGAAGGAAGGCTTCCTGGAGGAGGGGGCAGGTGAGCCCCACAGGACAGGTGGAGGTTGGAGGATGAGACAGAGTAAGGGGCTTGCCTTTCAGACCCCAGGCACCACCGTGCTCCCCATCCTGACTTGGGAATTTCTCAGTGACAGGGCTGGAATGAAGCACAGGGCCTTCCTGCTCCGGGAGTTGGGCTGTGTTGGCTCAGGGTCTGCCCTGGAGCACAGGCTGTCTTCAGTGGCTTCACCCGCTCCCCACCCTCTCCTTCTTACAGTCAGAAGCAGAGCCTGCGCTCCCACACTTCTCAGGCTCCCTGGGCAGCCACGCCCTGGCAGTGGGAACTGGAAGGCTTACCAGAGTCTGCGCAGCCCCGCCACCCTGAGCACTGGGGGGCGCACTGGGGGGCACTAGGGGGACAGGCCAGGGCAGGGAGGAGGACAGGGCCTGGCTCACCCCACAGCTCATCCCACGAGGGTGCGCAGGGCAGGGCTGGCAGCAGCGGCCACTCCACGCCCAGCCCTGCTGAAGGAAAAGAACAGAAATGGAGAACAGAAGCTTGTCTATTGCCTGTAACAAACTGCCTCGCAGCTTAGCCCCATGAAACAAACGTGGCTGCACAGTGTCTGCGGGTCGGACATCCAGTCCAGGTGAAAGGGGTCTCTGCCTCAACATCCCTCAGTCAGGGCCCGCCCGGACCATGAGTGGGTCCAGGCTCTGTGCGGGGAGGCTCGGCTTCCTCGCTGGCCCTGAGGCTGTGGGTAGGATTCAGTTCTTCACGGGCTATTAGAGTGAGGGTCTCACTCTCCTGCTTTTTGGCTGGAGGCCTCAGTTCTCTGCTGCACTGGCCTTTCTTTGGCACTGCTCCTGGTAGCTCAGCGAGCCGTGAAGGTGGGCTCCTACAGCCCAGGGTATTCCTGTCTCCTCTTGCTGTGTTTTGTTTGTGTGGGTTCAGCCGGCGGGTGGGGAGCTTCCACAGGACAGACAGACCAGGAGTTGGGGACATTGAGGCCCATCTCACAGGCTGCCCACCACAGCCACCCCTCACCATGGCCACCTGTGTCTGTGTTCTTGCCACTGTCCCCACCCTCCAGGAGTGGGTCTGGTCTCATCAGGGATGGCAGCGCTCTCTTTACCATGTCCTTACTCTGGTGTTTCACTGTGATTTTAAAAACTGAATCCTGAATTGTTACCCATGCCGTGGCCGTGCCCTGAGAGTGCCTCTGCGACGCCCCTCCTTCTCTAAGGCTTTCCGAGCTGTCTGATGAGGTTTATTCTCATTTTTTCCTGAGTGACATAGAGTATCTTTTTCTTAAGCTTATGAGTGACTTCTTTGTGCTTTCCTCAGAGCTAGAGGGCCCCCGATCTGTTTATTTGACCAGAGGCCCTGCTGGTGCACTCTTGGGAGTGGAGGAACCCGTGGGAAAATCCTGCGGGCGAGTCAGGGGAGAGCTGTGCCCTGGCGCCCTTGCTTGTATCTAAATGGACTATAGCTGCAGAACTCCTCGCCATCCTCCTGGGCACAGCCGGGCCCCCTCACCTCCCTGCGGCTCCTGATGCCTCCCAGGCTCTGCGGAGACCACCTTGGGCAGAGGCTGTAGGACTTAGCATGGCCACGGCTCTTCGCAGCCCGGTGTCCTGTCAGTCATGTGGTGACTTTTGGGTGTTGCCCTGCACAAGATCCGTGGGGACTGGGCACCTTAGGCCGTTCTTTCTTTGGTTGTCTGTGCAAGTAATAA